AACGAAATTCTAAAAATAGCAGTAGGTACCCTACCTATTTAAGTAAAAATTGTAAAACACTTCATTAAACAACCATCCGTACATCTATTATACAAGTACTCATCTAAAACATTATGCAAGTAAACAAGGAGAATATTTCACACAGCGGGTGCATGCACAGCAGTTTTAATATAACGTGTGGGTATAAAGGCCGGACGCATTCATTGTCCATGCCACATCCAAAAGAACTTTACATTCATTTTCAGCCACACACCGCCGTCAACATAACCTCCAAATTATTTTCCACCAGTTTCCTGACGAGTAATAATAACTTGTCAACGTCTGCTGCGACGATAAGTCAATAATCACGTTTTTGAGGATATTAAGTTGAATATTAAAAAGTTAATACCAATTGTTGTTTTTATTAAAATAGAAATATAATAGTAGTAGTATACTACGTAGGTAATATACTACTACTATATATAATATTTTTATAAATCTTTGAAAATCGATTTTTGAATCATAAAGTTTAATTGGCTTAGCAGCTAATGTCTAAAATGTACCTGCTTTCATCAGCTGCATTTATCTCGAATATCAAAAAACTGAACTTTTAACTTAAGTAGTAAGTGTTTGCCATAAAAATACTTGTTAAATGAGACTTTTATTTCACAGTTGCTTTCTTCCCTTCGTTGTCAGTGCTCAAAATTAGTTTCATATTGCTTATAGAATTTTGGCAAAAAAAAGTTACTAACTATCTATGATAACAAGTCTTGAAAGATGACCTACCTTTCATTTTCATACAGAAATTAAACTTAAGGCATTTGTAGATAATTAATTTGCCGTCTTGGAGCGGAGTGTGATAGATAGTAGAACTGTTTTTTTACTTTTTGATTTGATTTGCCTTGTTATTTTTTAAATTAAATGGTACTTAATATTATGTATATCCTCTTAGTTAAAAGTATTACAGAGCCTATTGTCATGTATTTCTACAACATAACTTGCTAATAACTATATAATCTTGGCAACTGTGGATTTGAATTAAAAAAACTTCGTATAAATCAGTCATTTATACGTGGCAATGTTGTAAAAATGTAGATAACGGGCCGGTCGAACCGCATTTTTAAATAGTAATCAGTGTGACTGGAAAAAGAACTTTTACACTAGTAGCTACCTACCTACAAAGTCTGTGGCCTTTGTGTTTGTGTTCGCTTATGCATCATGGAAAAGTTTCATCCTGAAGATAAATTCAGTTCGCCATTTGTGAAGTCAGTTTCAATTATTCCTTTTTATACATTTTATGCCTTAAGGTTGGTCATACAAAGACTGAAAAATATCTTCCAGGATTAAAATTGTCTGTCATTCCCGACAATTATAACTCTGGGAGGTTTAAGAGTAGAGTGAATAAGTTTATCACCATCGTCACTTTCCAAATCTCACTTTTCATCTTTGTCTCCAACGTCTATTTTTTTTATGGAACGTCACTTTTTTATGTTAGAGGGGGCAGACGGGTTATACTAAAAAAAAAGTATAGGACATAGGGTACGCCGTACTGAATTTTATACATCTCAACTAGAACGCATAAAGTAAAGCAGTAATATTTACTTAAATGATTTAAAATTGACACATAAGGCTCGTCCCTTTTCTATGTTTGCACATTGCATATTGGAATCGATCAATCTTTTTTTAGGTCCTACACTTATTACCTACAGCTCGAAGTTGGGTACGATGTATGGAGATTTGATACAGATTTCTGATCTCAGTTCTCATGTGGGTCTATTTCAATAAACGTTGGAAAGATAGGGTCTACTTACAACCTGAATTCGCTCACTTAAGCAAATCCCCAGGTAAGTTAGTATATTATAAGAAGGTAAGGAAGAAAATGGTAAGTAAATATGCGTAATCAAAATGTAACTGATGGTTGTTTTAAGAAAAGTTGAAATATCTAAATTAATTATGATCGCTAATTTTGATTAATCCCTAATTAATTAAAATAAAATTGGTTTTTTAACGTTTAAACCTACTATCAATGTACTGTATTATAGCTCTTTTATTAATTGCACAATACAACAAACAAAATTAACAATCGTCAAAAAAAACCGCTGACGAGTTCTAATAACAAAATACATGTAAAAATAAACAAACAAATAAGGCGTAATGCGGTCGAAATGTTGTCGGTTTTTTCGCGAAGCGAGGAAAGAAAGCGTTTAATAATGAGACCGCCCATAAACGAGACCGTTTCTTTTTATTTTGCTTCTCGGCCTTTGTCTCGAGTTTTGCATTTAACATGACCCTGCCTACCTAGATGTAAAATTGATAGTTATATCGCGGAACTGTTTCGGTGCAGGAAATTTGAAATTTCTTCTTTATCTGGCACAGAGTTGGCAACACTTAGCGTTTACTGTTTAAATGTCATGTCGTTTCACGGATGTTTTGGCTCGATATAGCATTTTAAAGATAAAATGGACTTTATTTGACATAGTTTTTTTTGAGTTCCCTTTTATAAGAATTGAAAACAAAACTGAGGTCGGGTCAAAGGGAACCGTAGTCCATTTCAAGAAAAAAAGTGGTTCTGAACCCCTTGAAATCCTATCCTTCCTTACTTACTTATTTTTTTGGCCACCAAGTATTTATTATTGCTTGCCCATACTCTCTTCAAAAGACTTTCGTTGTAACAATACAACCATTCCTTTTGAAGCAAGGAAATAGGATTGAATTGTTTCAATCCTATCTACTTTTACTATTTACTATGAATAGTTAAATAATATGTCTGAAAACATGTGTACGCACGAATAAGTCCAGGTGGCTCACACTAACTATTTACGTAAGTTCAGTGTCGTTTACCAAAAAATATAAAAATGACCAGAGGAAACTAAGCAATCAGTCACTGTTATACTATTTATTATAAAAATATGATATTACTCACGTTTGTATATCGGGGATGCTCGACCGGTATAGGACCCGACGGAGCCCTATGCCAAGGAGCGCGCGAGCGTGCGGAGTTCTGACACGTGTAAGCCACCGGAGCCGAGCAGTGATCATAAATGCAGGTGAAACTGCTAAGAACAACTAGATAGATACATATGTAGATAGTAAATAGATTGGTTTACTTTACAAGTGTTTTACGTAGATCATGGAACATTATCTATATATTAAACTCCAACAACTAGTTTTCGTACCTTCTCCCTACTCAATGGCAAATAAACGAGTGTGCTTTAGACCACACAACCACGGTACAATTATAATACAGTACTCCAACTTCATACAAACGGACGCAACGCGAGCTATACCTACGCGCCTCGATCTCGGGGTGCGCTCGGGGCGCAGACAGTCACGGCTGTAACGCAGTGTCGAACGGACGGTGTGTTGTTTTTTTTAACAATAACCGCGCGATTATTTTTTTCTCTAAAAATCAGTTAATATGACGAGTAGGAAATATTGTGCTGTTTTTGGTTGTATGAATTCGTCAATAACGCATACAGACATAAGGTTTTTTTAAATTATCTGGAAACTCTGAAAGGTAAGACTATAAAATAATTTTACTTACTAGTAGGTAGGTACATAATGTGTGTCTTTTTTATGGATAAGTATTTCCTTTTATCTTACGAAAAAAAGGTGTTTGGATTAATTAATAAAGCGAATAGAGTAACGGAAAGTTATTGAGACGAGTGAAATAGGTAGTTATATGAGGTTCTGAATGAATCATGATACGGTAGGTACCTACCTACTTACGCTTGTGTTAAAACTTCGGTTCATGTGTGATTTGTTACTTTGCATAATTCAAAGTAAAGACGTGGTATTTTATTTTTAATAATATTTGTTTATTATCTGTGTGTATGAATAATACTAGAAAAAAAAATTACCGTCTGTGTGTCATTAGATAGTTTTCGAAATTTTCACAAAGTGTTTCTGCTGCTACTATAACAACATATACCACTAAAAACTCCTCTAATGCAGAAAGAAAATAAAATAATTAAATCTACCAATCAAAAAACAACACGCATTTTTATTGAACACTTCCTATTCAATATACAAAGTATTTCATTTATTTATATAAAAAGGATATTTACAATCACTAATCTAAATAGAAACAGAAAGTAGGCAAATATAATTAAAATGCTGGAGACGGGCAGCCCTAACGCATGTTTACGTACCGCGCGGCTGTAGGCATTTATTTCTATCATGCGGCCGAGTTACACTACTGTATTATAATAGTACCGTGACACAACTGAAGTAAAACTTCTTGGCTTTGAGAGAAAGTAAATGTGGTTGGTCGCAGAGTGATGTTATAGAGCCTATAGCCTTCCTCGATAAATGGACTAGCCAACACTAAAAGAATGAGATATAATAATATTCCTGAGATTAGCGCGTTTAAACAAACAAACTAGTAACCTTTGGAATATTAGTGTAGGTTAAAATGGTTATCAAGTCATATGTTTATGAAATACCTACTAACTGGAACCGCGTAATAAAATGGATTTGAGATTGTGGTTATCGACGGGAACCCGCTCCTAATAAAAGCATTTTAGCTTACCTCCTTCGCAGTCATTCACATATGGCATGAATTATAATCAACTGTAGGTACTAAATTGTAGAAAAATCTTTACGTCACTTAACTGCTGTTACCCAAGGTAAGTGATACAAATGAGGCCTAACTTATTACAAATATTACTTAAACATAGGTAATACTGGAGCCTTAGCCTTTGGCCTATTTAAAATTAAGTGACTTAATAAAGCCTATCAACTTAAATTATATGAATGTTGCTATTAGTTTTAATTATAAAAATATGTATTTATTAAGTGTTTAAATGAGATCCTTGCATAACTTTCGAAGTTATTTTACTAAATATTTCACATAAATTGCTAAACAGACTCATCAGAAGTCGCATATTAACGATAAATAAAGAATTATACAAAAACTTTTTATACAAAATAAAATTAACTAAAGAACACATCTTATCAAAAAGATTACAAAATGTTCAAAAATTCAATAAACTTTGATAAACCTTATTTAAACAAAGTAACTAAATAAAGCCTTGAAACATAATCGAATCATCATTAACTGCCGCTCTCAAGCTTTCTTTGGACCACGTAGCACACTTTGATCTTGGAGGAGACATGATCAGATAACCGATCTGTAAATAAACATAATGCAGTTAAAATTTAATAGACTCCACTTAAAGCCTAATGTCATAATCAAGGCCTTTTAAAGCTATATTATTTATTACTTGATACTTCAGAAATGTTTTATGCTATATTCAATTCACGTATTGTAAAAATTATAATTTAGAGGCATAGTTACCTTTTCAATGATTGCGGGCAAAATTCGATAGAAATCAGGATAAATTAATAACGCGCTACAAAAGCACCCCTCTCTCACAAACGACCCGCCTTTCGTTGTCGCTGTGAATGCGAGAGAATCTCTTGCGCACTGTTTGATCGGTGGAGCTGTTGCCTATCAGTATGAGAAGTATTTTTGATGTAAAAATAATAATAAATTATTTTCCAGACATCTGACACACAACGCCATCTAGTTTCCAACTAATCAGAGCTTGTACTATGAAAGTTTAATTGACTGATAAAATATGTATTTACTTTTTTGTAAAATAGTACATACATAAATGCATACATAGTACGGAGTTTTGGTGTTTTCCACGTATACGTAAACACCAAAACTCCGAAACAAATATTAATATTTGCAGATCATACAAATATATTTTAATGACTTCGGTACTACAGGCCTTTATTGAGCATATGCCTTATTTGTATCAGATACCTTACTTAGGTCTTTAATAGTCCACTGCTGGACATAAGCCTCTCATTAGAAAGGAGGTTTTGGCCTACTATACCACGCTGGCCAGACGGGTTGGTATAGGGTTTGTGTCAAGTTTTCCTTCTCTCTGCAGTGCTGTTGTTCTGCGTAGTTTGCACCCTTAGTCGCCTCTTACGACGCCCACGGGATGAATAGGGGTGGTGACACTCTGTATTCTTAATCCGTCACCACACGGACTATGAGCAATTTGAAGCGACTAACGTCTGTAACAGCATCTGTTAGAGGGAATAGAGTCAAAGTTTATGTTAAAGAGTTCTCAATGGTTTAAAATCCCATTTTTTTTATGGTATAGGGGGGTAAACGAGCAGGCGGGTCACCTGATGGTAAGCAACTACCGCCGCCCATGGACACCTGCAACTCAGAAGTCACAAGTGCGTTGCCGCCCTTAGAGTCCCTCCCGCTCGAGTCAGCGAGAGAGGGATTTCTGGCTGCGGTAACCTCACTCACTCAGGAAAAGGCAACAAAAGAATTCAACAATTCAATCACCGGTTTTCTATGAGGCCGTGCTATCACTCCCGTCAACCCGACCCATTCGTGCCGAAGCATGGCTCTCCCATGGTATACCAATAACGTTAAACGCTTGTGAGGGTGGATATATAGATGTTTCTTACACACTCACACTAGAACGTTTTAACGAATCTGAGAACCGCAGCCGCATATAGCATATACATGGCCCTATAAAAAGACACTTATTTTTTACGAACTTAGAAAAAATAAGAAAGGAAAGTAATTAAGCCAGTAATAAAAAAATGATAGAACAGATAGAAAATAATTATTTATTACACGAAAAGGTAGACTTTTTAATTAGAAATCGTAATTATTACAGAATAATATTATATACAATCCGTGTTTATATACAACTACAAGTAGGTAATACATTCAATCCATTACGATGTTCTATAAATGCTGTTTATTAAAACATGCATGTTATGACATTTGGCCTTTAAAAGTCTACAACTAAGTTTTTTATTCTATTAAAAACGTACAATTTACAAAGCAGTTTATGTAATACTAAATATTTACACTAAACTTTCTCCTAATTCCGATGAAAGAAACCGTAAGTTTAGATGCGATTTACAGAAATATTTTTTTTTATTACCAAGGTTTCACCTAGAACTCTCCCGAGTAAGAATGCCCATTTTTTACCACACTCACTTGCCCCAAACTTAAAGTTTAAAACTAATTTATACTACTTACTAAAGGAGTTCAGTCTCTCGGACAGTTTGCAAATCTTCTGTAAAACTGTAAGCTGATCATACATATTTCAAAATTGTTATTTACAAAGACTCAACACATCGTGGTAAAATATAAAAAGTTTAAGAAAACAATTCGGATCTTACACTTGGCTTTTCTATTTACTTATAATAAATAATTCCTTTCATATAATTACTACCACATCGTGTATTTCTGTATCTATTTATAGTATCAGTATCTAAAGCTAGACGCAACATGTTGTAGGAAAAAGATGCATATATAATTCGTTATTTATTTACATGACTTATCATAAAACTTTCTAGAATACCTAATATCACCTGCTCGATTTTACAACATCCCTACAAAATAAAAGTAAAAACAAGCTCAAATACACCTGATACCGCTACAGCAAAACAGCTGTAACTAGAAAAAAAATTAATTGGAAAAGAAGTTATTGAAACCGGCACATCATTTAATTTTAGTCCTGTATTTCCATGAAACACTCTTCAGCACTTGAAGTGATTTCCAATGTAATTTGTCAAGTTTTGCGCTTAAAGTCAATAACCCAAAAACTGACTTGTAGAAAGTTCAATTGACGACAACCCTCGCCATGTTGTTTGATTGTCAGTCACTATGTATCTTCATTGGATCGGTAAACTGGGCTGTTAAAATGTAGAATAAGGCCGGAGCAGGTACCAAAGATAAGTACCAAAGTTCCTTAAATCCTGTTAGAGAAATGATTCCGTATGCATGCACCAGCCAGTGTCCAACTACTATGACAAGATTTCTAGGACGAGTGACCGTGGACATGAGTAATCGCCAAGCTGACTGCTCGATTTTAATAGAGAAATGTGATGCCGATGTCATCATAGATATTATTATTATTATGTACGGGAAGGAACAGTCTGTAAAACAATAACTTGAGTTAATAACAAAAATTACGTTTATTTGATATCTAAATGGCGACAGTGCACTAAATTACATATTAATTTTCGAGATTACAAAGTGTATTGACATAATGATTTGTCGTATAACAATAAAGTAAATATTTTCGAACATGAGACACACAATAGTCCAGTCATTTAAGCTTAAATTAGGTAAGAATCTCGGAATTCGAGATACCCAGCTGTAAGTTTGTAAATACTTGTATATTAACACCCTAAAAGTTGTCTCAAAACCTACGTATGGTAGGGTGTAAGCAACTATTAAATTTCAAGGTCAAAAGTCACAAAAATCGGTTTATTGCGCTTTTTTTGGAAATATCTCATTTCCTATGGGTTTCTGCTATTTGTATTCATTTTCAATATTGTAGAATACAAAATTCTCTACAAATTTTGTTTAAAAAATTTTTTTATACGGTGAACCGTTTTCGAGATAGAGGGCGGAGAGCGCGCGGTCATAGCATCACTTCAGGTCAACCGGTGCCCTCCAGTCGAAAACGCGCCATATATAGTTGATGAACTATGGCTAAATCAATGATTATAAATATTTGTCAATTTTTATTAACTATTATATTATATTTTATCATTTTTTTTCCTAACTTTTCCACTTTTTATTCAGTATTAATTTATTTAACAACACTTACCTGCCCATGTAATTGCAGAATTGTTAATGAAAATATAGGAATTATATTTGAATTTTAACCTAATTAATATTAATAACTTCTTACATGATGAAAAAAAAAACAAATAAATTATGAATTAATATTTTTATTAAAAAATATCATTGAATACATTTATTTTTATTGAAAGTAAAAAAATGGAATAAAGGTTACAAAAACTACAATTTATAATTTTAATCATCTTCTTCCTCTTCATCGTCGTCTTCTGGCTGCTGGTAAATTTCAAACTGGTCTTCATTATCGTCTTCAACGACATTTGTCTCAAGTTCTTCCATGATTTCGGGGTCAAAGGTTCCATCTTCGTTAATGTCGCTCTGATATGGTAGAGCATTGAGACAAGCTTGCCCATTACATTGGCCACAAGCTAAAGAGCATTGCAAGCCCGCTTTCCTGCATCGGCATCGCGAACCACAACCACTCTTGCAGTTGCAGAAAATTGTATTTAGCAAATCTTCTGGAACAGGTGGTAAAATTGTCATGATAGGCTCCAGAAACCATTTCGCATTGTCCAACCCATACCTGGGGTTCCAAATCATGTCCTAACCAAGTTTGAACTTGATAATATACACGGTTGAAATGTTGATGAGCAGCTGCACTTGTTGGTGGAATATTTGAAAGCTGCACAGGTTTATTAAGTTTTGTAGACTTGACGTAATGCATATAACGAAGATGATCGAGACTTTTCACAGATTTCGGAGCATTATAGACTGCCAATAAGGTTTGAGTTCCACTCTCTAATAATCTCTATAATATCTATAATAATCTCTATAATATAATATAATAACAATCTAATTTATAATCATTGATTTATCGATAGTTCATCAACTAAATATGGCGCGTTTTCGACCGGAGGCACCGGTTGACTTGAAGTGATGCAGTGACCGCGCGCTCTCCGCCCTCTATCTCGAAAACGGTTCACCGTATTAAATTTTTTTTTAAACAAAAGTTGTAGAGAATATTGTATTCTACAATATTGATAAGGAATACAAATAGCAGAAACCCATAGGAAATGAGATATTTCCAAAAAAAGCGCAATAAACCGATTTTTGTGACTTTTGACCTTGAAATTTAATAGTTGCTTACACCCTACCATATGTAGGTTTTGAGACAACTTTTAGGGTGTCAATATACAAGTATTTACAGACATACAGCTGGGTATCTCGAATTCCGAGGTGAACTTACTATAATGACTGGACTACAACGCAATGTAGTTTTAAAGTAAGTAAAGCCTTGCACGAGTAAGGAAGTGGTGTGTCCTGGAAGAGGTTTGGACGCTCTCGGATCACTTATATATTCGATTTGAGCTCTCCCGGAATCAGGACCCCAGTAGAGGTCACGAGGCGCGGCTATCTTTCCACTTGCCGCGGTGGGCTGTAGCCAGACTGAACAGGGACCTACTAGAGGAGGCAGCCATAATTCACTCTTGGTTGTCTCCTCAGGCTCCGACCGAAGGGATCGACATGGAGGCTGGTCGCTTTCACGATGCGATCACGCAGATCTGCGATGTGGCCATGCCCCGCATCCGAGGTCATCGGGATCCAAGGAAGGAGGTCTACTGGTGGTCCCAGGAGTTGTCAGACCTCCGTGCGGCCTGTACACGTGCCCGGAGGTCCTAAACCCGCAGTCGGCGGCGACACTGCGGAGACGGTGAGAAGAACCGGCTTCATAAGGAGTACCGAGAAGCGCAGAAAACTCTGAAGCTGGCCATTAGCCGTAGTATTACTTACGACTTACTAACTTAATAAGAGAAGGAAAACTTGAAACAAACCCTATACCAACCCCTCTGGCCAGTGTGATATAGTAAGCCAATAGCTCCTATCTAAGGAGAGGCCTATGTTCAGCAGTGGACTGATAAAGGCTGTTGATGTTGATGATGATGTATTACTTACATATTAAGCCTGCAGCAACAGTATGTATGAGCACTAATATAGGGTAGAAGTACAGTGCACTGTAGATTGCCTTCTTGCCGGGGTTTGATGGCTCCCATGTCAACAACCAAGGTCTTAAAGTAATTGTCATCAGAAGGCTAAATGCATAGATGAGAAGAACTATTGTGTACCTGAAAACATAATATTGTGTATAAAAGATATGGCTCACTTGCTGAATATTTTCAAAAGATAGTTGTAGATGAATGGCAGAATGGTCTTAACCTTGTCAGCCTGAAGTGGATAGCAAAAATAGTCTACCCTTCTAAGAAGCCCATGCTATCTATGCCACTAAAAATGAATATTTACAAGCAGTCTGATTGATTGACAAGAGTGGGTCAATAAAAGTAATGACCCCCCTGGGGTAAACCTAGTTCACATGACTTTAAGTTGGTTATCAAAATGATTTTTTACTCTAAGTTGCATGTGTCTATGAGCAGCACTAGTCACTATCCAGCAGGTGACCGGAGCGTTTGTTTGCCCCTTATACCAAAAAAACTACCACTAGGTCTTGGGTATAATTTTACTTAAACCAATTTTACAATAATGTTCAAATCAAAAGTCACTTATGGTGTAATAACTTTGGAAAGTTAACACTATTTATAATTGACTAGCTGTACCCTGCAAAGTTTTACTGTGAAAAGAGGTGGGCAATGGGGAACACAACTGATGGGAAAAATAGATGAAAACAGTCTTTGAAGAGGGTTGTACAAATTATGTCAAAAAATGTCAAAATGTTTGGTGCACAACTTTTTGAAATTTTGAAGTGTACACAAACCAAGTTAACATTTACACTTATACTATATTGTGTTGTTATTGTTAGATTGTGATTTTTATTATTATTGACTTTAGTCCTACACTATTATATTGGAAGTATTATGTAATGATAATGTATGGTATAGTAAATAAATAAATAACTTACAATGGATACACTGCTTCTTGGGTACAATGTAGGGTCTCTTTATAGTCTGGCTGAGGGTTATGCAGTAGCGTATACCAATCTGACAGTGCCTTTGGAGAGCAAACATTTAGTGCTATGGTTCCCATAGGAGGCAACACTAATAGCGCAGCTAAAGTGCCTGATGCCACTTCAACAAATGCACAAAGGTGTTGAACAAGGACCTTTTTTTTACTGTAAATAGAAAATGTATGTTCAAATCATTTCATATTTTTAAAGAGTAATTAAGCAATATCAACTAATATTTTTTTCATCATTGATACATTACATTAATTTAAGTAAATCACATCATAACACTCCTTAAAAAGAACTTTTTGCCTACTATAACACGCTGGCCAGATGGGTTGGTATAGTGGTAGGTTCTGTGTAAAGTTTTTCTTCCTTTTGCAGTGCTGTTGGCTAGCGTGATTTACTCCCTTAGTCGGCTCTTACGGCACCTACGCGATGAATAGGGTGCTGAAATTCTGTATTCTTAATCCATCACCAAATTTTAGGTAACAGTTGTTTTGGTATCATTGTTTCATTTGTGAGATGGACTGAGTAAATATAATATAGTGTTGATCACACACCACTCTCCATAAGCTACCATATCTATGAAGGACCAATGCAGAACCATGGGCAGTAGCACCATAAATCCCAGGTATAGTCCATCGTAAAGCGTCGGTTCGTCCATACACTGTATGCAGTAACTAGAAGCGTTAGTTCGGAAACCTCTCGGACAGGCTCCACAATCACTCCATGAACCATCGTCAAGTTCTGTGCGCCCGCAATATAGGCCTGGACAGGTTCTAACAGCACTCATTTTTTTAACGATATATGCAAAAATTAAAAGATAATAGAAGACTGTTCTCAACAGTCTTGAAATCAATTTTTTACGTATGTTCAAATTTATTATTTCAATAATGAACTCTCAATTTTAAGCAAAATAGAAAGCACTGATTGCTATTGATAGTAACGAAAAACTATTTTGACGTTTACACATTATTTTAAGCAATTTTTGACAGTTTTGGCACAAGAGAGTGAACGTCGGATAATCTGGACATTTTGGTAGACTTGGCAGATATCATATGTTCGGAAATACATAAAAGTAGTGAAGTAGTTTTTAACAAATTATTGTTATTATTGGTCACACAAAAGGCTATCAGCTGTTCTCATTTGCTTTTAGTGCTAACAATAAAAAAAAAATATAGGTGATAGAGATCGCAAATTATTCTCATAGTCATCATCATTTCAGCCGTAGACTGACATTTTATTATACTAACCATATAATATAGGAAGTATAACAAATTATAGATATTTTAAAATAAAGTGGTAATTATTGTTATTATTCCCCCTCACAAACAGCTTAATTTACTACTAGAACTTTAATTAAGAGTCCTTAGTTAAAGTTCACCAGTAGCATGTATTACTGTAAGAGTTATGTAGAGCTATATCGATTAGTCTTATTTCAAATTAATTTCACTTATGGATATACGCCTCCTCTTAGTATAATAGGATTATTCCATTACCTATAGGCCTCGTGGGTTAGCGTACATAGTGAAGCTTTTGGAACATTATTAGAAAAGGCTCAGGTAAAAGTACCAATGAAGTCTTAATTTCTCTATTCAAAAATATTGCTTTCATTTCGAAATCAAACAGAGATTTGTGTATAATTTGTTTTATTATAAATATGAAAAATAATTAATTTGATACAAATGTGTTCATGATTACAACAAAAAATATATTACAGTGCTTTAAATTTAGTACCGGGATTAGGAGCCACTTCTGGCCTGGTAAAGAAGCGACGACGTAAGCGCTTTATAGTACAACGTGTAATAATATATGAAAGATACAACGAAATAACAATGAGTGTCAATGAATAAAATAAAACATCTAACATGAAGTACTTAGACAAGGTGAACCCTACAGTAGATGAACGGAGGTGACGTGCAGTCCCATGGTGCAAAAGATACTCGGTCCACCATATAGCATCATCTGGACCGGATACAAGAGAGTCGAAGATCTTGTGTTTTAAATTTGAAATAGCCAGCTTGTATCTGTAATAATCCAATGAATGTTATTCTTAACTTTTTTTTTTTTGTATGAATTTATGACTTCTAAGTAATTAATAATAATCATAATTAAAATATTAATAATATTAAAGAACAAAATGTAAAAGAATTCGCATTCGTACCAAATATCTTTATTATTATTCTCTTTATTTACTTTATATACATATTATTTACATTTTTAAATATACACTTTATAAAAAAAATACATTTAAAAATATAAAAAATAGTAGACCACCGACATCGGGTACAGGGACCAAGACACCGGTGGTTAGGACTCCAAAAGATAGGAACCTCCTCACTATACGAGCCGTGTCAAGGAGGACTGCCTTCTGCATCAGACCCTTGATCCAGCCATCCAACGTGAGCCTCTTAAGGTGTTGGTCGAGGCTCTTGGCTATCAATCCATGAGCAGATACGACTATCGGAACAATGATCACTGAATCAACATTCCACATATCGACAATCTCGTGAGATAAATCCAAATATTTAATTTGTTTTTCTTTTTCAACTTTCACGAGATTCTCGTCATGAGGAACGGCGATATCAACAATCATTGCGCGGCGCTCTAATCGATCTATCAACACAATATCAGGCTTATTGGCAACAATAGTCCTGTCTGTGATAATAGATCGATCCCAATACAACGTGGCCCGACCCAGTTCTCGAGAATGGTCGGGCACATACCTATAGTATGGCACCTCTAGATTCACAAGATGGTATTTAAGGGCAAGCTGTTGGTGTACGATCCTGGCTACTTGGTTGTTGCCTGTGCAAATATTCTCCGTTAGCAAGACGAGAACAACCAGAAATAATATGCCTGATTGATTCGCCAGGACGGTGGCATGCCCGACAGATGTCAACCGTACCATCTTTCAGGATATATTTCCGATAGTTATTCGTCATGATAACTTCGTCCATAATCGCACAAACAAAACCTTCAGTTTCTCCAAAGAGATCACCATGCCGTAGCCAAGTCGTAGATGCTTTTAAATCTATATCGGACCCGTTTAGGGCCCGATAAAACCGACCATGGAGCTCTTTGCCCTTCCATACTTCCCTGCGATCATTAACACCAAGTACTACAGGTCTGCGCCAATTCTCTTTAGCCAGAGCGAGCGGGGTGAAGCCGGTATCCACTGCAACTACATTGCGATGCACTCCCCACGTCGGTATGTAGAAAATATTCTCTGAGATTGCATACCTCGCGATTATGTAGGGTCTTGATATTTAATAGACCGCGACCCCCAAGCTTTCCGCGGGATATACAATCTCATAACTGATGAACGTGGGTGGTGCATTCGGGATGCAGTCAGCAGTGTGCGGACTTTCCTGTCAAGGGCATCTAATTCGGTCTGAGTCCATCTAAGTATACCAAAGGAATACATTAGAACCGGCATGACCCAACCATTGCAGGCTCGCACCTTGTTGCCCCCTGATAAAAGACTTTTAAGTACTTTTTTCAAGCGGCCAAAAAAGCGTTCCTGCAATGTTTGTTTCATGTTAGATTCTGGTATTCCCAACGACTGTGATATACCCAGATACTTGTAAGTTTCAGTGGCAGACAGAGATCTGAGTTTTGTTGAATCCAAAAGCTCTATTCCTTCAGATTCAACTATCACACCCTTCTTTACATACATGACTGCACACTTGTCTACACCAAATTCCATTTTGATAGAATTACTAAAGTTTTCCGTCACCTTTAGTAACTTTGTCAATTGTAATTTGTTGGAGGCTAACAGTTTCAAATCATCCATATAAAGAAGGTGAGATATAACTTGATCATCTTTCTGCAACCTATAGCCTAACCCTGAACCCTCTAATAAAGTGCTAAGAGGGTTCAAAGCCAGACAAAACCACAAGGGACTCAGACTATCACCTTGAAATATACCCCGCTCGATCTTTATTAGTACATCGTGTATCGCTGTCTGCCGACATCCTGGATAGCGAAGTGCCGTTCTCCATTGCCCCATACATGACTTCAAGAAAGTGCACAGAGTTGTATCAATTTTATACAACTCTAGCACCTTCAAAAGCCATGTGTGTGGAACCGAGTCATAAGCCTTCTTATAATCTATCCAACACGTCGCCAAACTCTTACGATTACAACGTACCTGTTGGCTAATGGTCATGTCTATGATAAGGAGGTCTTTAGTGCCACGGGTCCCACTTCTACATCCATTCTGAGAAACTGACATAATCGAATTATTATTAATATGTAAAGTAATTTTGAGTCTCAGAATAGATGTTAGAAGTTTATTATTATTATTATTATTATTACTGAATATTTTTAGTACCTATGGTAAACTAGACTTTTGTCCGCTGCCTCGCCCGCATGTATGTCGGTTATCGCGGTGTATAGTAGCCTATTTCTTTAATCAAGAATCTTCTGTCTGTCTGTCTGACTGAGAAATTTTGAGTCTGTCTGTGTAAACCACTGAAACGATGCAAAATATTTTTTTATACAGATAATTTCAGTTCCGAGAAAGAACATAATTTTTATCCCAGAAATGGCCTTTTAAGGGGGTGAAATGGGGGTGGAAGTTTGTATAGGGAATCAATAGCCGCTGAACCGGCGTAGATGAAATTTGGTATGTAGATATTTTGATTCTTGATGAAGGACATAGGCTACTTTTTACACGCGGGCGGAGCCGCGGGCATAAGCTAGTATACTATAACGTTTTAACACCTGTACCTCAACAATATTCTGACAAATAAATATATTATTATTATTATTTATTTTTTGTGTACCTAGTGTTTAATTGTTGTCTATGTTTAATATAATAATATTCTAATTCAGTTTTTTCTTTGTAGTACGATATCCCTCTCGTCATCTAAAAGATACTAATAAATCTAATACTAATATTAAGATATCAGATTATATAATCTGGTGTCTTAATATTAGTACCAGTAGCAATAAAAATTTAAAGTACCTAAATCATCCGGGCAAATAAGAAACCAGTAATACTACAATCTTGGCATTTTGACAAAAGAACATTTAATAAAAAATACTCGTACTTGTTGCCACGTAAGTTATTGCCGCAGTTATTATAAAGAACACTACTTACTTTTCATTAGTGGTAACAGCAGTAATCACAGCTTTAACAGTCTCCTTATCCAAATAGTACGGGTCTAGAATCTCGCCAGCGCCATACTTTGTGACTTCGTTAATAAAAACTTTTCTAGACTTAACATTTGGGAATCCAATAATTGGAACTTCGTAAAAAATTGCTTCTTCTAAGGAACGTGCGCCACCATGAGTAATGAAAGCCTTGACGTTTGGGTGAGCTGCATAAAGCATGTAAAATTACTAATTATTATAATTTTATGACTTACAAAAAATTAAAAGAGGCAAGGCCTTTAAATATAAGACAATTTTTCTAAAACTTTTATCCTTTGCTACATACCCAAATGTCGTACCGCACGTAAACACACAATAGCATAGGTACTTACCCAAAACTTGTTGCTGCGGGAACCATGTTTGAGAAATCAAGTTATCAGGTTTTTTGAACATGGTCGTGTTACCTATTTTCCAGAGTACGGTGAATGGTAATTCTTGAAAGGCTTGTGCAAAAGTTTGTAAAATACTTGTAGAAAGCTTTTCTACTTCCTGTATTGCTCCCAAACTAAAGTAAACAACACCTTTAGTCGCTGAATCCAAAACATTCAATAAATCCTAAAAAAGTAAATTAAGTAATCAATTTTTTTCTGTATTTAGTACAGTCAAACCTACAAAGTTAAATTTTACCTGTGGCAAGCTCAATCCCGGTCTAATATGCATACGATCGACATACACAACAGCTGGCACCGTTGGTCTGTTACCAGTCAAAGCTGGATTGCTTGCGATAAATAACAAGTCTATGTCATACTCCACTTCTTGAAGAGGTCTCTTTAGACCTAATAGCTTTCTTGCAGCCAGCTCACAAAGAGGAAGATAGTTGTTATAATATTCATTTTTTGTTTGAATGTGGCGATAAAATTCGATAACCTTTTCCCAAAGAGTCATATTACCATGGCTTAATGCGTTAACATCTGGATAAAAAATTGGATGTATTGGATCTCCTTTTGCTTCATGCTGATGTATCTTACCAGTCGAGGCAGTGATGGAAATGTGGGGAGCCCGATATTTGTCAGCAATCGCATAGAGTAACGGCACATCAGCCTCTGTGATAACTAGGTCGAAATGTATATTAGGATTTATAAGCAGTGCAACCATCTGTTTCGACTTCAACTGCGCTATTGCCAATCTAACTGAGAATTCGTTGATAGCCTTTAATCGTTGGTAATGATCAATGGTGTTCGTCATAAGCTTTTTGTACTCTTCCCAAAAGGGTGCAGACGCTTGACCAACATCTAGTTCTACAATATTTTCAACTTCAGGATACGAAAAGTGTCCAGGGTATGGTGTCATAACTATCAAGGAATGACCCTTTCGTGCAAGTAATGATAAATATCCTCTAAAAACAAGGTGGTCAGAGAAGGACAAAGAAGAGAACACAGCAAGGATTGTTGCACCAGTCACCGCGTGGCAAAGGCATGCCAGTATAAACACTGCACACTTTACTTTCAGCCCCATTGTCGCAAACCTGAATTAAAGAAACACACATTAATAAACGACTGCTCGCGATTAGAATGGAGTAATAATAGATATGTGAAAAAAATACAGTCGCACTGTCGTAATCACAATTCAACAACTGTACAAACATAACTTATACAAACGATATTTCGACAACAACCTAACAATACTCATCTTGATTGCAGTAAAAGCGAACACCTATTAAGTACCTACCTATAATAAAATAAATAGGTACTTAAAGTATTAACATACCTACTTCCTCAACGCCTTGTGCTTTGATAGAAATCATGCACAAGTAGGTAACTAATTGCACTCAATTGAGTGAAAAGGCCACGAAGGACTTATGAACCCAGCACTATCTTATAAAATGATAATAAACGAACTTTATACCAACGGCTTTAATACACTGGTTTCGCTTTTTTCTCTAATTAATTTCAAGTTTAGAATTTCAATTCATATTTATTTCGTAGTTCACAGAGAGAAGTTACTATCAACTATGAAGGGCGTTGACCAACTCCTAAAACTTATTTATAATATTTACAACAATGTCATTATCAAAGAGTAACAAAGCTACAGTACCTACTATCTAAGGCAATACAGAAAGCTAGTACACATACTACTTAGTTATTAATTACGCTGGTAAAACAAATTGTTGATTTGTTAACATAACGACATGAATGTCCTATTTCTATGCGTAAATGTAAGGAAGCAACGGTAAGTTATGCAAACGGAGAACAACACGAACTAGACACTAATTCTGTGGCGGATCCTCATTTTAGGCAATCATCATCATCATCAACAGCCTTTACTAGTCCACTGCTGGACATAGGCCTCTCCTTAGAAAGGAGGTTTTGGCCTACTACACCACGCTGGCCAGACGGGTTGGCAATCGGTAGGCAATCAATCAATCAATATACTGAGGCTTGGGTCGTAAGTGTGAAAACTTTCATGGCGCGGTTTAGCAGTATGAAATAATTCGGCATCTATTCGATAACGCTGTGGAATCCTGCCCTGTTTTGACAGAGTGCGCAAAAGTTAAAAATATTTTTATGGTATAGTATATACAGATGGTAAGTGGCAACCTCCGCCCATTGACACCTGCAACTCCAGAGTCACAAGTGCGTTGTCGCCCTTTGAATCCCTCCCGTAGAATCAAGGCCCGTGCCCTTGTTTGGGTTCTGGTTATCTTATTCACTTGATGAAAAGCAACTAAAAACGGCTTTACACTGCTTTTCTGTCGGCCATGGTATCACTCCGGTCGGCCCACGGTAAGATTAAACTTGTGTTGTGGGTACCAGTTCCTCTCTCATCCAAAACTAACATTTATTATGTATTTTCTATATTTTTAAACATTTCTTCAATGTTCTTGCGTGTGAGCGTGCGGTGTGCGGTATGTATTGGTGTGTGTTTGTGTGTGTGTGTCTCGCGTGTGTGTGTGGAGGTTTTAGAGATGTAAGTTTAAGCAGCGTTTCAGTTTGTTTATAGTCTTGTTCGAGTATCCAGTTATTTACCTTAATTTTAATTTGGAATTTTGAAAGTTGATACATACTGCAGTACATGCTATCAAGCAGTTTGATATTTATCGAAAATATTACCAGTTCCTAATTATAGGATTTTTTCATACAAATCTAGAGATAGTAGTGCGTTACTACTGCCACAGTCCATGAGAACAAAATAGCCGGCAATAGCTTGGCAATGTTTTAAAAAAGTTAAGTTATAACAGAATAAAGTAACATAGTACCTACAAGATTTTAGTCTATGATATGAAGAATCGTAAATCTGTCTTCAATCAATTCTATTATCAACCAATAACACATATTATAACTGTAGCAAGTTACTCAAAAGTGACAAGACTACTTAATTGGCCTTGCTCAAGCAATACATGTACCTACAATGTATTTAGTTGAACAATGTATCTAGTATTACAATGTATTTAAATTACATTAGCTTTTTTACTTAAGCACGTCATCATCAACAATAGCCTATAGGGGGAAGTGCCGTAGCGCCGGACGGCACCTAGCGCCGGACACTCATACTATTTTGACAAACGTCAACGCGATCTATTTATAAATCGGTGAAAGGGGTGCGGGGGAACGTAGCGAGACAGGATCACGCAACGCGATTTGCCAGTGAGGCGCACAGTCGTGGTGGAAGCCGTGAATTGCTGTTTTTGGTGGGAAAGCGTTGCGTCACGTAAATTTCAAGTAAGTATTACTGCTATGGTTTTATCCTTAATTGTTTTTGTTATTTGTTAATAAAGACAGTGTTTCACTATAATTATTATATTGAGAAAGTTTTTATTAAATTCCTAAACAGTTTTAGTATGAAATACGTAATTTTGGACGTTTCCTGTCCCCTACTTTCGGACACAAAGGTGTCCCTTACCACCGGACAGTTTATAGGTTAGCTTTTTTATGAAGCATTTGTACTTATTGTAATGTTGATTGTTTGTTGTTTTACAGGATAGAAGGAGAGAGATATTTGAAAATGCAAGAGAGAGAAAAAAAGGAAAATGGGATCAGCAAAGTTTAAAAACTGCGATGAACAAGATTTTGTCCAAAAAAATGAGTTTGAGGGCAGCTTCGTCACGTTACAATGTTCCAAAAAGTACTCTACATGATAAAATAACGACATTGAGCAGTGGAAAAGAAGTCACGTTACAATCAAAAGTTGGTAGATTCACAAAAACCTTCTCACCCGAGTATGAGCAAGTTTTAGTGGACCACATAAGAGATTTGTCTAATAGATGTCTGCCCCTGATGAAAAACGAGTTTTTGAAGTTAGTTTACGACTTGGCTGAAGCTATGAAGATTCCCCATGAGTAAACAAACCAAACGTGGCAATAACGACAAGAAAAAGGAGCCGTTAACTGAAGTATCAAATATAGAAAAAACGACTTGTGTAGTGTGTTTAGAAGACCACGACGAGGATTGGATACAATGCTCCAGATGCCAATAATGGGCTCATGAAGCATGTGCAGACGTTCCAGAATGTGGAGATGCCTACATATGTGATAGATGCTAAAAGTTTTAGAATGTCCGGCGCTTGGGGTTTGAAGATTAACCCGTCCGGCACTAGGTGCCAATGTCAAAGTCCTTTATTTTTTTACCAAAACTTATTTAACACTCCTAAACTATGTTTACGTAGAATTTGTATTTTTGTTATTTGATTTTGATTTTATGTTTTGTTAATTTAAGTAATTCATAAATAAATACATATTTCTCGATGTAGTTTTAATTTTATTTCCTGAAAACCTTATGTGTCCGGCACTAGGGGACTTCCCCCTAATAGTCACTGCTGGACATAGCACAAATTTGCTTTTAAAACAAACTAAAGTTGGAATGCGATAATATCTTTAGATGCCTAGTACCCAAATAGTTTATGAACACTATGCCTTGTACCCACGCAACGTCGCTATGGTAACGATGGTAACTGTAAACAACAAATAAAGATATATATTCGGCAAGCGTTTATAAAGCTATTTAAATTAATTAAGCTGCTGGCATATTTTGACATGTAATATTTTATTAATAATACTAAACAACGATGGACAACCAGGTTTCGAATTATTCAGTGGTTGGACGTATTGGCGAAGGTGCTCATGGATTGGTTTTTAAAGCAAAGCACATTCCCACGGGCCGAGAAGTGGCTTTAAAGAAAATTCTAATCAAAAATCTCGAAGACGGAATTCCAGTAAATGTCATGAGGGAGATAAAGGCGTTACAACTATTACGGTGTAAATATGTAAGTTTGAAGTGTGGGTATTAATGAATGTGCTAATCCTATAATCACACTATTCTGCTTCCTTGTATCTACAGCTGCGTCGTAATGTGTTTTGATGTTTTGCACTATGTTCAACGGTGGATTCGGTATCGCTAGTTTCGTTTACAGGTGATATAACAGTACAATACGGTCTGACACAGGACTCCGTCAGAAACCGATAACCCCATCCGGCAACTAATCGTAACGACTTAACGACAGAGCTGGTTTATAATATCCCTAAACGGGTTACGGGATAGGGATAAGGATCAAAAAAGTTAAAGTATCTATAGTAGAGCTTGTATCGTATATATGTATCTTGAGAAAGATGGAGTTTTGATTCCACTTACGGGCAAAGGCGATCTAGAGGGGTTTCATTAATCGCGCAAGTAACATTTGCCATAAAAAATCGTAGTGCTCTTTGCACCTTTGGAAGTGTGAACACGGGAACTAAAGAAACAAAAAATAAAAGTTGCTCACAAACATGATTGCTTATACCTATTAAGATTGTTACAGTTGTAGAATTTAGAAATTTAATGTGCTCTTCTTTTTTTATAGGTTATAAAACTTTACAACATGTTCCCCCGTGGTATGAGCCTTGTTTTAGTCCTCGAATACATGTGTTCTGGTCTGTGGGACATGTTACACCACAACCAACAAGAATTGACGTTGCCGAGAATAAAGACTTATGTTCAAATGCTCCTCAAAGGCACTCGGTATATGCATGCACATTATGTTATGCACAGGGTAAGCATATAATAGGATTAATCTTTAAATAGTACAACATAAGATTAGATATTAGATCTTTCAAACTACGCAAGGGGTTTTAATGCAGTTTTCACCAAAAGGCGGGTTCATATGTATAATACATGCTTATTTTTGTACCTAGAGGAATCTCGAGAGTTTCAAAGATATGTAATGACAAGTCGTAAAAAACATGTTTTCATGCGCTTACATTGCAAACGCTGTCTAAACCTTACGAGATAGATCAAAATAATGTATTACGGAACTGTTTTTCTTGAAAATATTACAAAAAAGTCCGCAATGGTATAAGTATGTCTATATTTTAAGGAGGATAACCCACAGTAACCATTTTTATCTTTTGCATATTACAAAAAATAATGGTGAATTTACCTAGCTAGCTATTTTGAACAATAAAGTAGTATTCCGTATCCAAAAATATATGTTAGGTAGGTACACTGTGCTTTTAATGTAGATCAAAATTAAAATGAATATCTTAGTAAATATTAGATTTAAAATTTAGTATCTACATTGCCGATCCCCGAAGACGGGATCGCTAGTAAGATATAGACTTCGATATAGACGATATAGACTTAGAAAAATAGGGGAAAATGTATTCCCTTAAAAGAGACGCAGACGAAATTGCGCAGTTCAGCTAGTTAGAGCGGGCATATAGATATGTCTATATATATATATATTTATATCGTATCTTTCAAGCGCTGTGTAGTGCTCCTGATGAGTGTCGACTTTAACCACGGAGATGAATCTGGATATTATTCAGCGTTTAATTTTTTCATATCTAAACTGTTTTTTTGAGGACTTGAAACCCGCAAACCTATTAATCAATCACGAAGGCATACTGAAGATAGCTGATTTAGGACTCGCTCGTCTTTACTGGCCCGATGGCGGTAGGCCGTATTCACATCAAGTTGCTACAAGGTACAGAACATTTTTTTTTTTGGAAAATGAATTAATCATATATTATTTTGAATTAAGAGTATATTTGACTTTTGTTAAACACTTTGAGATCTATCTGCTTTACTGCAAGCATCACAGAACTTTTAATTGCCCACAATTGGTAGCTATGTATATTTATTTTTTAGATATATCATTATGTACAACACAAAATAAACACTAATTACGCCCATGTTATAGCAATTTAGCTATCCGACACAGTAGCCAAACTTACAACCAATAAGTCTGGCATGAAAGACGAAAAACTAAAAGGAAATACATGCCTCCATCAACCAATAAAATGGTTAAGTTTATTTAATCATTGCATAGATGGCTTTTTCAGATGGTATCGAGCACCTGAGCTGCTGTACGGAGCAAGATATTACTCAGAGAAAGTAGATTTGTGGGCAGTAGGCTGTATCATAGCGGAATTGATCACGAAGCAACCTTTATTTGCCGTTAGTATAGAAACATTGTAAAATTTGCCACGACAATGTTGTATTTTTTTTAAATATGGTAAATTAAGGAACATTTAGCTTAAGAATGAAGTAATTACTCTTTCCCAGGGAGAATCGGATATTGAGCAACTAGCAATAGTTCTCCAGCACCTAGGCACACCGACAGAAGAATCATGGCCTGGTCACTCTGACTTGCCAGACTTTCATAAAATTACTTTCCCGGAGTCGACGCCGACGCCTTGGCCCGAACTGCTGCCAGGCGTAGAGACTGACGCTATAAATCTAGTCAAATCCTTTATATTATATGATTCTGATAGGAGAATATCAGCTAAGGAGGTAACAAAACAATTATAATTATATCTCGTAGTATACTTGTGGATACATAAAGTGGACCGAACATGGAAAGTCATTCCCTTTCGACGACGATAATTACGTTTATAGTTTTTGCCATGCGAAAATATGAAATAAAATTGCCAGAGTAATAGTTAAGTTTTCAAATAAAAAATAAATTTGAAAAAAAAAAGCCTTGAGTGCCTGTTGTCAATAGTAAAAAGCACCTCGGGCTTTTTTTCAAATTTATTTTCTATTTTTTAGTTTGGTTTTCTATAGAAAGCGTGTTTTTTAGTTTTTTTAAACTTTAATTTTTTTATTTTATTTTTTTTATTAGTGTATTGTCATCGGTCCTCGATATATCTACAAAGTTTGAACGAATTCTGACCGTTTAAAGTCAGTCAAAATCACGCCCAAAGGAGTCGGCTACAAACATACAAACATACAAGTGAAGCTAATATAAAGCTTGTAAAAAGCCTATTAATAAAAAAAACCATTAGTACTTTTAATTAATATAGAAGGATTTGTTATAGTACTAAAAAAAAAATATTACTACATTGACATTTTACGTAAAATAATTTCCTTTTCCTTGAGGCCTTTTCAATGAGTTCCGATTTTCACACAGAAAGGTTTAGGTTACCAATTTAAAGGACAGTCAAATATAAAATAAAATCAAACTTTTTACTAATACTTAGATAGGCTATTTAACTATTTCCGTCATATGACATAGTAATTTATCTGTTTCTGCTATCTTGATTATGGTAATTTTTAGGCAGTTGAGCAGCTAGTATACCAACTCAAATTAATAATAAACATTTTATTTCAGGCATTAAAACACGAATGGTTTCAAAATCGACCACCACCAGATTCCTTGGAAAACATGCCAAAGCCAATGAATAAACCTAAATAGTGTTGCAAGGATCAAATAAATTATACAATCGTTTTAAAATGTATTGAATCATTTAATTAAATTATAAATCAGTAATTACAATATCAAGTTGTACTTTATATCTTATGTACATTTGAGCCAATTCAGTAAACGCACAGAAATATCTTAAAAATTACTGCTAAATAATATGCTAAAGACAGATAGGTAAAATAATTAATAAAACTACCCTTGCCTGGCAACACAGATATTAATGTGAAATAGAAAAGACATTCAGATTGCTTAGATATTTATTGCGAGATTGTCTTTTAGCCACTAGTATGCTCTACGACGAACATTGTTATCGATTGCTTATTAAACCACAAGGCATGTTACCAAGTACATAAGTACCAGTTTGAAAACCCTCTACAATGATAATATTAACTTTAAACTAATCATATTTTTTGGAATCATTCGGCGAAACCCAGTTCCATTAATAAATAAAACTCTATTTTAAATATTATAAAATGCAGATAAACAATTACATTACAGAGATCATATTATATATCGTTCCATTCATACTATTTAAAACAGAAGAGGTTTATAATACCTTTACACTTTGTCTTGATAACTTATATTAATGACGAAGAATATTTTTTTGATAAAACTAAGAACTAGCACAGCCACTACAACTAATAGAAAGTTAAGTAACATTGGACTTCGATGTACATGTAGTAAACATATGAACAAATGTTAGTGTGTATTTTTTATTCTACTTAATGCACAGGGCGTAGTGTATCATTTTACTTCTACTCGATCGTCATGGTGACCGCGGTCAGCGCTGTGATTGGTGCATAGTTAACCTCAGGTCCTCATAAGCACTATTTGTAGTGCTCTTTCTGGACAGCAACAGATACAAGTGTGTTTATTTAGTCAGTGCGCCGTAACATAAGGGAGGCAGTAACTAACGAGTTTATTACAAAAAAATCAAGTCTAGGCATAATCTTCTAAACTTCTATTGATAATGTAATTACGAGAGATTTACTGAGCTCAAATAAGCTCTACACTGAGGCAAGTTGAGCCTCAATTATTTAAGGCCTAGAATGCTGGAAGTTAAACTTAATGGGTTATTTCAGTTCAGGATGATGAAGATTTGAGAGCATGATACGCTTAAAATCGTTAGTTACTACTCCCCGGGCACCTACTATCCAACTAACAATTTTAATAGTTTAAATTTAATAACAATAGTTTCAGTTGAGAAATTAATATATATATAGGAGCGTAACGAACTGTACAATGGTCGTTATATGCTAATATATATCTACCATGAATGGTAACTAGGGGTATGTACATTACAGCTCGAAAATGATTTTAACATATTTTAGCAGATATTACTTAACTTACGATTACATAAAGTGACTTCAGAAAGAAGTCGATTTTAACTAAATTTAAGGAAATCTGAAGAAATTTTTCCAAATTAAAATATATTTATAATTATTTAACAAGGCATTTTTCTTTTGCTCTTACCCTTTCTGCTAAAGTAAATTATTTACCGTTTATTTTTACTAAATTACAAGTCTAAATTTGTGTAGCACAATATTTTTAGTACAACATCATCAAAACATTGCAAATTACTAAAACGTTGAAGACTGCAATATGTGCTAGTATTAGGCTAAACTAACATAAACATGGTATGTATCACCTCTAACCGAAACTGTTTTAAGTAAGATACTAATACCTAATACTACTTTGGTTCAGTGACACGAGGCACCATCAGGTACTTCCCCTGCGTAGTTTAAATATTGAATACTACTTCGTATTGCGCAGTAAACGTTAAAAATTTAGCTACTATATGTAGGATTTACCTAACATTGTACGGTGCATTGAGACCCGTACGGACTTTTCGTTGCTATGGCAACTTAAATAAACAACGTATACTTGCTGAGACAATGATAGACAAACTATCTTCATTAAGACACATACAGTTATAAATTACGTACATTTTCAAGGGGTAATTATCCTTTGACATTTTATTTACTAAGCACAATTTGGCCAAACACCGATTCTGACATGATTAACTTTACTATATACAACTATAAAAATGATTGACAATTTTTAAGACTTAGGTATTTTTAGAAAAACATCTTAAATATTCTCCCTGCAGATCATTTTTTGGGAAAACGAAAACCAATCCTTTAAAATCGCTTTATTAAAATTATTATTACTATTGTCTTTAAACATTCAAAGCTGAAAGTAGTCAACATGATCTTGTAAGGTTCGTTATGTTCCACGTCCCACCTAGAGTACTTAGGAATTAGGACTCAACTCATAGACTAAACTTTAAACCTATGGATTGATTCTTAATTCATAACAAGCTACATGTAATTTCACTAGCACTGCATTTTAAGCGTTATAATGCAGTGGAAGCCTACCCTTAGTAAAATAATCTTAACCAATCGTCAACTACTAATCAAACCTTGACCCTAGTCATGTAAACATTAAATCACTCGAGATTGCGTAATATTCTTTTAGCGTAACCTTTTTACGCTACTGTCTTGACAACATGCATATTTCGGCTGTCAATATAACTAGCAGATGCCCATCAGACTTATACCAAAAATGTGTACAATGATTTAATTTTTTCTAATATCAGATTGACGCATGAGTTATGAACACCGTTTATTTTTAATTATTCCATTCACCAATATGAATATACTGTTTTATAACGTGCTAAATGAGACCCAACCTAAAAAGACTGTGCGATTAAAACCTAATATATATATATTATGGGTAGGTTTATGTAAACATAAACCGTGTATAGATATGTAAACTTAAACCAAACCGTATCAACCTGCAAGTATCAAGATTTTTATTGGTAACTGTCTTTACTAGAGATCTGGTCACTGCCTGGATGAGTTTTGCGGTTGGGAAATTATCATTGGTTGGTTATTTGAATAAAATAATTTTATTTAAATTGCTAGCTAATACGTGTTGGTATGGCAACTATGAAAGATAGATAATGCAGGGTATTACTATGTCATACATCAGTCCAATTAAGTTTAGAACGAGGATGTTTGAGTGTTGTCGGAGAAATATGTTCTTTGAGAACACTCATTACCCTTATTTACTACCGCTCCCACATATATACAATGCTCTATAAGAGCAGTCTCACAAATGAGTTTAACTTCATGCAAATCATATATTGACTCCATGTCAATCATTTATTTAATGAAAGATTCATTTAACAAAAACATAGTAAGCACCTAAAACCTGCATTTAGTTGGAATTATATTTTAATATAATAAACCTTTTGAATATTAATGGTTGGTACTGACACGATGTTTTTCGAAGGGTTGCAAGACCAGATCCTAATACCGTAAGTTTATTAAAACATAAAAGTAAAGAATATAACCCACAACAATGGCAGTGTTTCAAAAAACATTACGCCGTTTTGCTATCCAGACTACAGTCCAACGGACCAAGACCGAAGATGAGATGGTGACTGTGATATACAGATAAAGGGCTATTCACATTAAACCGTACCATCGTTCATCTGTGCCATGGGAGCCACACGTTGTAATAAATTACTTCATATCAAATGTTAGTACCATTTCCAATTTCTGAACCAAAGGTCCACGGGTGCCATGGGTCATGGTCAGCTACGATTTAATGTGAATCATCCTTTAGCAGTAATTTACACTCTGTAGTCGAGATCGGAACTTTACTTTTTAATTGTAAAACTTTGTTGACAATAAATTTGTTTGTAAGACTGTTACCAGCTCACTATTATTCTTCAAGTGAACTCGTTTATCAACTCGTGTATCTATTGAAGAAAATAGTTACAACTGAACAAATAATTGTTTTCAGACTATTTATCTAAGACATTGATATTCAAAAGGTTGAGTATAATACTTATAGAAACTATTAACAAATACTATAAAGATAACATTTTAAACCAATCATATTTTTAAATACTATAGAAAAGTCCTGTTTCACAACCGTAGAGACAACAGTGAATAAAGTTTTATATAATTTATTTGTAAGTTGCCAAATATATTCACTTATCGCATTAAGTTACTGAAAATGTAGGGACTGAAGCTTATTTTAGATAACAAACTAAATTAGTTCTTTTTTTAATTTAAAAAGGAAAATACTATTATGAGTTGATTAGTTACACCAGAGGGACAGGACAGAGGTTGCACCGATATTTAAACCGTACACACAAACATACAGGTATTACACTAACAAACTTTTCTTTAGGAACTATATTTTCTATGTAAAGGCGCAAGTTTCACCTCTGTCTATAATGTCAATATGTTAGGAAGCGGGAATTAAAAAGAAGCTCTCTCCTAAACCATGAAACTTAACAGAAATTCTACCCTAACATAATATTTTAAACTACCGGTACCTACCATACCATACCAACGGTATACGGACACCAATTTCCTGCGGTGATTAAGAAACAGATCCAGTAACTCATCCGAACGCAATAAGCGAATATATAAAAGGTATAAATGAAGGTATAATTACAGTACACGAAAGAAATGCATGAGACAGCGGGGGAGTGCGGGGTCGTGAAACAGGCCAGCGCCCTAGTTCCGTATCCAGCCGGCGGAGTGCAGGTAGTGGCGCACGGCCACGTCCACGTCGCAGTCGGGCGCGGGCGCGCGCCGCAGCAGCACGCCCTTCAGCGTCACGTACTGCGCCGCCTGCAGCGACAGCGCGCCGCACAGCTGGACAAACAGACCACCGACTTGTTCAACATTCACTGTACTTTATTCATACCACAAATATTAGGTACAATATTATGAAAGCAACTGTTAACGAATTTATCATCATCCTACCTAAACACACTATCATATTGCACATAGGACGGACGTTTACACTCCACATACATTTTTATATTATCGTTTCCTGTGTTATGTTATAACATGAGTTATAGGAAAAGCGCTGCTGTCTGAATATTAACAAATTCATTACCATGATATTATGATAATGGTAACGAACTTATGAGAGTATATACTCTATAAATGTATTTGAAAATTTAATAGTAAGATAGTTAATGCGACTGGATATTTTTTGCTTTACTACATGAATTTACGCTTTTACTACCGACATGACGCCATGATGATCACTTACTTGTTAAAATTGAAAATGAGTATATATATATCGCCTGCATAAACTTTAGTCAAATAAAAATTCTCTCCGAAAAAATTGTGTAATACCCTATTGTATTGGTGCGATTTTTATGTTTAAACTACCTGTATCTCATTATTGGTCAGCAGATGTGTCGAGCATGCGTCGCTGTTGTTGCATAAGCTCTTTTTGGAGCATCCACATACGGTACTTCCGTCCCGTGTGTACTTTGGGCTGGTGGAACTTGAGCCGCTTTCGCCTTCTCTGTATAAAATATATATTTACGGTAAATAAACAATAGACTTACGATCTAATTTAACCGAAATATAAATTATATCCTTAATTATTTTGATATTAAAATAATTTCTATTATGACATCCAAAACGAAAAGTTTGAACAAAAGTTCTTAATCTTACTCTCTAATAAATATGTTGCTACCTAATACTTTAGTTATCGATCAATTCCATGTTCGAAATACTCAATAAGGTCACTTTAATTTGTTATAGTTCCCTTGGAAATGTTTTCATTTGTATTTTTTTTTATAAAAAATAAAACAAACCTTTTTTTTAGCTGCTGCATGTTGCTCAACATTGGTTCTTTTATCTGGTTGGTTTCCAGGCACCCACTGCTGCCCTGGCGAATACAATCGTTATACGGGATCAAACCCAAAACCACACGACACATTCATCACAAATTAGTTAGTACTCACACCAATATTACAACACATTATAAATACAGTATGACTACATAATATGTGACCAAAATAAAGAGCCAAACAGAATAATAAGTTGATGAAGCGGTATATTTAATGATGCCATTGTATCTATCTGATAATTAAAAAGTGGCCGTGAGTTTGTTTGCCCTTCTTATAAGGCTCAACCCCTTGGAACAGGCGGTTATTGATCGGCACAGGAATATAGTAGATTTTAGATAGGTATAATTTTATTAAATTTATTTTGCTAAATATTTGACAAAACAGATTGTTGCTATAGTGTGTGTTGTCCGTGTAGTGACGGATTAAGAATACGGAATGTCACTACCGCAATTTATCAAGTGAGTGTCGTAAGAGCCGACCAAGGGCGCAAAACAACGCAGGACACCAGCACTGCAAAAAGAAGGAAAACTTAACACAAACCCTATACCAACCCGTCTGGCCAGCGTGGTATAGTAGGCCAAAATCTTCTTTCTAAGGAGAGGCCTATGTCCAGCAGTGGACTATTAATAGCTGTTGATGTGATGTGATCTATGACTTTAAAGTCTACATAAAAACGATTTCAAACTTTTTTTTTATGAAATAAAGATACTTTGAGTTTAAGATTGAGCCTTTTAGCGTAAGCACAGTGTGTATTGGTGGTTTTTTGACGTAATGAGCTCTGAAGTATACCTTTTTATATCAGTCACACGGAATGTGTGATATGTAGAGTCATCATCATCACCATCTGAGCTAAAAGACGTCCATTGCTTCAACGTCAAATGTTCTTAGAAAAAAAAACTACAGGATTCCTATAATTAGAATGGAATGCTATTTTTGTAAAAGATTTCAATTGCATTGTTTGGTTCATTTTGTTCATTCGTAGATTATTTTGTTCTCGTTTTATAGTCATATACTTCTTTTAAGTTACAAAATTAATCTTAAAAATAGCACTTACTAATGAACTGACAATTTATTTATTACTACTTATATCAGAATATACTTTGTTTAAAGAGCAAAAAATAAATGAATTCAAATTCATATGTATATATATCTACTAGGTTTGAGCTCTGCCATGACTAACAAGACTCAGTATCAAGAAATAATCCTATACCTCTTAACTTTCTTTTTTTACTTTTATTATTTCTTGATGGCTGTGCTTGGGCCCTTTATACACTTGTGAAATGTAATTGATTGTGTAGAACTAAAATACGACTCATTAAAATGATCACAGTAAAAATATCTCTTTGTAAATATCCTCTTCACACTTACTCTCCCTTCAAAATTATAAACACAAAATTCAAAGTTATTTCCAAACAGGTATACGTTAATGCAGTCTTACTGTATTGCCATGCAAACCATGGGTATAAACACTACTGGAAACCACGCTAAGCATAAGCATGAATTCATGAAGCATGAATTATCAATGCCATGCAGGAATTATAATGAAAGTTAAAAAATAAAATAATTGAAAGGAAAAAAAATAACTAAAACAAAATAAAAGCCGGTAATGGCTGGTTTGGTGTGGACAAAAATGTAAAATTTTATTGTTTAATGTTATGAAAAAGCTAATGAAAACATCCCACAAAACGCCAAAATATTACCGTCATTGTTATGTAACTTTAAATTTGTTATTTAAATTTACATCTATTTTCTTATTTGAGTTCTTGGGCATATTCTGTTTATCTGAAAATTTCTGGTACACCACGGCGATAAAAAAAATGGATTCGTATCAAAATTATTTAAATGTATAGAATAGTGAGATTAATTGTTAATTAGATAAAAAAGATTTTATTTAAATATGATGTGAGAAAAAACAAATAACTAGTATTTTTTTTCCCTTGGACATATTATTGGAATTTTTCATTGGTGTTTTTTTTGGTTTCTATCTATTGTAAGCAAGTTGAAACTGTCGATTCAATAAACTTTTTTCGGAAATGTTTGAACATTAGAGTGGAGAAGTAAAGTGACGGTAGAGGTAGTATAAATCGGCGTTAGGGAGACAGCGTAGCGAAGCAGGCAGTACCAGGAGGCGTGTTCTCACGTCGACGTGTGAGGCGGCGGGGTGGCGGCGGTGCGCGGCGTGCTGGTCGTAGTGCGCGCACTCCTCCAGGCGCGTGACGCCCGCCAGCCGGTAGCGGTGCAGCTCGGCCAGGCGCACGCGCAGCTCGCGCTCCCGCCACAGCCCGGCCACCACGCCCGACTGCTCGCTTCGCCCGTAGAACTGGGACGTCCATCGGAGCCGTTCCGTGAATTCTCTGCAACAAGAGGCGACTCGATTACTGCACCGTTACATGAGCAAGATCTTTTCACGAGAGTGTCTCGATCTTTAGACACTACTGAATACATAATTTATCGTTTAAAATTATACCTCTATTAACAAATACAATTAAAGTGGATGCATGTGGTTTGTCGATGACCTGAAAAATTATGAATTTAGCTTGCATTTTTTTATTACCTTACTAAGCAGTATACAGATCTGTTATTAAATTTTCAACATTTCAGCATGTTAGCTATGTGAAAAACATTACTTAACAAGTAAACAAAATTACAACACAGTAAATCGAAAACAATTGCTGAGCTTTCACTTTTTACTTAACACTTTAATTACATAACTTAGTCACATTCAGTAGTAACTCATACAATAAATGATTAACTATAATATTTTCCAAATGGTACCTACTTCTTCTCTTTGGCAAGTTTTCCTAGGGTCTTCTGTTTGTTTCTTTGATTACTGAAGAACACGGATACGAGTTGGTAATCTCTCACTAATCTCTTTCTTCTTGTTCTTTCTCGCAATCGTCGCGTGTAAACGTCTACTTGTGATAACTTAAGGGCTGAAAAAAAAGATGACAAATGTTTAGAAATACCTTAATTTTGCCTTATTTTCAAAACAAGCTGTAGAATTTCATGACATATTTGACTTTTGCTGTGTCAATGCTGTAGTACCAGAAAATAATATAATGGTTAATGGTTTGTTATATTGTAAGCATACGTCTAAAAGTTTTTTTTATATTTCAACCGTACGGACAAAGGTTATTAAAGTATTTAGTAATGTAGTATCACTATTTGATATATACGACATAGATAATTAGACTTGTAATTAATATAATATAAACATATTTATACAATATTAATATTAATATAGTTCCGATGTCCGGTAATTTATGGCTAACCTGGAAATGGCTTATAGCAGAGCTTATTTATAGCCGCGTAGAAAAAAATTGACACAACATATTTTGTAAAGCTTTTTTTTAAATACTACAAATTTCATCTTACTTTACACTCTTACACGCGGCAGCGTATAAGATTTATGAAATTGAAGCATATATTATGAAGTTGAAGCATCTTGGGTGTAAAAAAAAGTATAAAAATATGAGTGCTCTACATTTTAAAGGCTGTTGATGAGACTGATGTGAATTAGATTCCCCGGTAATTCGAATGGGTTTTTTATTTTCCGAAAGACGTCCACTGCTAGACATAGGCTTCCCCCAAGGTTCGCCAGATCAACCGATCCTGTGCTGCTATTACTATTTCAGTTTAATAATTTATTTTAATTGGTATTGTAACCTGTCTTAGTCTTCACGCATAAGATATGGATTTTCTAGTTGCCAACTACTTAGATTGTACATATAAATAGCCATTTCTTTTGGATGTTGACTCGTCGTTCCACAAATATTGGGTGCAACTTGTTCCTTTGAAATATCGTGCACAGCCGATCCTCCAATGCTTGTACGTCAACTATTGTTTGCGTAGAGATCGAAAGATTATTCTCTACTTCGTCAAGCACCATGACTTGATAAGAACGAGCAAATTCGCTCGTTCGCTCGCAAAAATGCTAGTATCACCGAGACCATTACCAGGCATTCTTCCTTCAGAGTAACCACCGTGGATGCATTAGTATATTTCTTCCTATAAAGAGTTACGGCTACATTTGCAATGATTTTGAATTCTCCATAAACAAAATGCATGTTTGCATATTCTTGTGGTAATAAACAAAACGATTAGTCCAGTACAATAGCCATGTGGTCTGATTCTAAGTGAATCACGGTAAATTGCAAACCGAAACGACGCACTAAGTTGATTATTTACCTTTTTTTTTTACATTTAATCACTTTCGCTCGTACATAGCTACGGGCACAAAAGACGGACGGTATGGCGACGTGCACGCAGGTAGAAAATATCACCGTCACATAACCCATTTCACACTCGAACTAACCATTTTAAATATTCTTGTGTACTTAATCTGTTAATTTCTGATCACACATTCATTTATTTCAATAAGCCATTTTTATTCATTTTATTATCTGTGCCTGATGATGTTTTATAAACTTTAATGGTCAGGTACAATTTAATGTACAAAATGTTCCAATATTGCAAATTATGTTATTTAGATAAATTTTCTCTTTTTCTGCATTAATCATAATTCAGCAACAGCATTTTCAATAAACAAATAATTCATGTTTTTTAAAAAAGAAGTGCAATAACTAGTCATAGTATTTACCTACTACATATCTATCACCATAGTTATAGTATAGTAATAGAAAAAAAAACTCATGGAATTTATTTATTCGTGGACGAAGCATCCTAGCAGTTCACAGAATGTACAATATTCATCTGAACAGTGCCAGAACCAAACTGCTGCGAATAGTTAAACCAATTACACTAGCTGTATGCATTTTTACTCCGAAGGCCGCTTTCTAATTACAAATTGAACCAATTGCAAACTGGACCAAAAATATGGTGAAAATTTGTAGTATTTAAAAAAAGTATGTTGTAGGTACTTCTCAGAATATATTTTGTTACGTCCTTTTTTTACAGGTCATCCATTATTTACCAGATACAGGGGTGTATGTACACTAGTAATTTTAAGTAATTGTATGTATTGTGGTTGTACATAGTAATAAGAACCGGCAATTATTTTGCTAGAGACGAGAGAGAAGAGAAAAGGAATAGAAAATGATTACAAGTTCTGCTTAGTTTGAAACTAGATGGCATTGTATGTCAGATGTCTGAAATATATTATTATATAGGTACAATGTCACACTGTCTGTCTACAACTGTAAATCAAATATCTGGAGTTAAATGTCTCCACAGATGTAATTTACATGTGTGTGTCCTAGTATGGTTTAAGCAATATAATATTATAGAGTGCATACATAACTTTGTGCAAGTGAAGTTCTGTTTTATTTTCAGTAAACGTAAATAATTTAGACTATTTTAGACTCACCAACATCCAGCTCATCATCTTCAGGATTTATTGCCATGGTTGATATTAACAGTTCTGCTTCATGATCATGTTCCTGTTAAGGAAAATACTATTGAATAACATAGTTATAGGTGTATGTACAACATTTACTACATAATTTCTATGTTATAGTGTTTTGTTTCTGTCAAAGAGTAGGTTTGCTAAAGACAGTATTTGTAAGGGACAACAACCCAGAGTAGGATTTTACAGCTACTGGAAAACACATAGTATTAGGCGGGCATAGTATTGCTACTCAGTATTATACATACATACTCTTTTAAATATGTAACACCACAAATAATTTCAACACAAAAACAGATGATAAGACCTCTGGAAACAGGATAACTTTTTTACAATTTCATCTTTGTTAAATTTTTTTGATTATATCAGATGTACAAGATACTACAAAATTGATTTGACAGGAAATATGTCCAGTTATAGTATCTTTACATGTATCTATATACATAATTATAAAGATATTTAAGTTATGGTAATTATTTTTAATGTTAACACTACAAACCAAAGATTTATACCAATTTTGCCTATTCCATTCAATGCATTGCACTATCTTTTATCTGAGAATAATAAAACTTTTAAAACATGTTGCCAAAAATACAAAAAATGATTCCTTTCATCCAGAAAGGATTTTAAAAGGTGTTTCTAAAGAATGCATAAAACACATTTGTGTAAGTAAAACCCAGTTTTCAATAAAAAAAAACTGATTTATATCTGCAAGAACACTAGTAATATTTATGGCATTTAAATACAGATCATGAGATGCAAGACCAAAAACAGACACATTACTTTAAATTTTTCCACTGTTGTAGTGCAAATTTTGCCAATTGTTTTTTACCCCCTTTCTTTAGATTCACCTGTTTATAGGATGTAACAAAATCATACACAATATACAATACACAAAACATCTTAAATAAAATCTATGCATAATTATCAAGAGCCAATTAGGCTGAGGCCCATTTATTAAAAGTGTTCATCCCAGAGAGGGAGCCTGAAAAATGACTACCACATCTTAGATAGACAGCAAGTGTCCTAAAACAAATAAACCAGTAATATTTTTCTTTAATAAGACTAGTATATTATATAATAGTATAGGATAGTAGAACCTTAGCTTAGTACATACATTTATACTAATAATATTGATTGTGTTTTTCTAACAGCCAAAAATTTGTATTGCCTACTTAAGAGTGCTATGTGAATTCAGATATATTTCAGTAATGTTAACTTTTTAATTAAATTTAATATCTATGCAATCAAACTCCAAGATGACGCACCCTTTCAAAATCATCTCTATTTGGCATATATCCAAGTTGTACAGCTTCATCAGGTGTGATAGCAAGATGAGGAAGACGAGATACTGCACTAGGTCCCAAAGGGCCTTCATCTCGGTCTGCACAATGAAGAGAGGGGCGACTCGTGCTTTCTACATTACCCCATGTTGCTCTACCAATACTACCTTCTAAATATCTATTGATGTATTCATCTTTGGCCTCTGAAAATTAAAACAGTATATACAAGGAGGGTAAACTTTATCACAAATTTTCCTAATTAATTTATTTTATGCTACTTTTTAAATGATAACAAAATTTGTTCAGTGAAATTGGTTAAAAAAATTTTTGAAGCATTTTCGTTATGTTAGGAGAAACAGCAGAGTAATTATAATGAAAGGTTTAAGCAAAGAATAGAGCTTATAATTAGATAAATTCTTACCATCAGGTGTTCTGGTTTCTATATGTTTTGATATGTCTTCCCAATTTCCAAAACCAAACTGTTCTATGGCATCCAATAATCGTACTTCTTCATTTGCAGTCCAAGTACTACGGCCCAAAAATATTCCAAATGCTCCAGAGTCCTATAAGGATATGGATTTCATATGAAAATATTTTTTCATACTATGGGAGTAAGGAAAGTAATTTGTTTAGGATACTTACCATATACTGATAGGAATGGTCATTTTTGTGTGTTCCAATCTCTGCACCGAGAGAAAAACACTGCAATGATACAATTTTATGAACTACTCATACTGACAATTTAAAATTTGCGCCAAAACTATAAACAAAAATGGCACCGAAGCTACTTTACCTGCAAACAAATATCAAAGTCTATACATTCCGCACACTTCACGCGGATTCCAGTAATTTCTTCTTGACAATAAGTACAATTATATTTTGCATATAAATCTGAAAATGACATGATTATATATACAATAAAACAAACATGTATCACGAACGTTGGCAAGCTTCGCTGCACTCACTCACTACACTCACTATTTAATTCACCAGCCATTTTTTTAATGCCATAAACAATAAACAATGTAAGAGTTGCCATATAGAAAAAAAAAAGTTTAGTCGTCAGCGTTTTAAGTAGATTTATATTTCACATAAAGTAAAATTATCATACTTATAATACTTTTTATATAGGTAACAACTCTCTGACTAGTATATAGTTTTCTGTCTTAACAACTGAAACCACATTTACTTATTAAGGGAAAGCAAAAATCGTTAACAACAATTTATTTTAAGTAGTCTACATATTTTAGAAAAAAAAGACTCCTAATGCAATACAACTGCCTTAAGTAATCTAGACGCAGTATTAAAAATCTGTCTATCTTTACTGTCACTTCTTGTAAACTGCTATACACGAAAACTTAGTCTCATTTATGATTTATTACTTTAGGAAATAAAGATTTACTGTTAGGACATGTATATTCTTAGTCGGGTTTGACTACCGAAACAACATTTTGTCACTTGTGTATTTTCAATATATTTTCATTGCTGATTGATTTCGAAAGCATAGACATATCTCGCATAAAGCAAATCATTCAGAAAAGTTAAAACTTATTGGTTAACTTATTTATTTGACATAGTAACACTATCATGAACGTCAAACTTGGTTAAACTTACGATACAATTGCTCTGTCGCTGTTCATTATTTTGATAAAATTTCTTTTTGGTTCCGTAGTACTAGTATCCTAAACAATAGTTCAGTGTTTATGGAATTGCGAACTGTAATGTTAAAAACTTAATAGATAGTTTTCATTAGGTAAACAGTTCACATGTGACGCGTTATGTGATGTGAACTGTGAACAGCACTTGTGTGCAATCTGCTGCCGATTAAAATATGAAATCCAGCAAGCGCAGACTTCAGGCTCTCACGGAAGGATCCGATGGAATCCCTAACTACCTTAAAATGGAAGATTCTGAGACATCTATCCCACCTGTGTTTAGGTCTCGATTACACGAATTGTTCTCACAAATAGAAAAAGAGTTCGACCTTCTGTATACTGAAAATTTAAATCGTAAGTCAACATCACATGCACTTGACATCCTTATTTACATTCTGGTTTTGTTTATTCTAAACCCAAAGAGAGAAACAAACACATTTGAATAATTTTAGTGTGTCGAATTTAAAGAATTATCCTACCTATTGAATTTATAATGTAAAACTAGCTGGTGCCCCCGACTTCGTTTGCGTGGAATTTGAAAATGTTATAGGGTTTTTCTGAGAGGAAAAATAGCCTAAGTTATTCCTTATAAAGACAGCTCAAAATAATAGGTTTTTCCACGTAAGCGTGAAAAAACCTATTATTTTGACACAGGCAGAAACAGACAGCTCAATTTTATTTATTTGTATAGATGTGAACGAGACATAAATTAGCTATTTCCTATTTAGTTTCTTGTGATTATTTGCTCAATATTACATCTTAATATTATTTAAACTTTGTTTTAGTGCAAGAAAAAGTTGATATCCTGAGTGAGAAACTGGAACGAGAAAGTTATGTGGGAGACAAACAGAACTTAGACTATATTGAATTTGATGTCACTGGCAAGAACTCAAAAGTAAAGTGTTAGTATGCTTTGTTTATAGAAACAACAAAAATATGTTTTATGTATGTTGTTTTATCTTATCTACCAATATGAATTCTATTGATTTGATTACGATAGGTGAGTCATTTGTGTACTTTTTCAAGCAGTGTGATTTCAATGAATGAAGTGCTGTATATAAAAAATATAATTTCATAAAAGACTACAAAAACATTTAAAGTACTGTGGTATATCTTATTAGTAGTAACTCCCTAAAAAGTATGTCAAAACTATGTGATCCTTCATTATGTGTATTACGTAATCCTATTTTTGAGATTATATCTAAGAGGGCCAAATCTTATGATATTGTACAATGTGAGTAAAAATTTAAATCTCTTCATTTGTATGCTAAAAAACTGTCGGGATAGATTTATCAGACTTATAGTTTTTTCTAATTATAACGTAGACTCACTCACAAAAGAAGCCCTACTGTCAGTCTGATAATAAATTGAAAAATTGGGAAGTACAGTGGTAGGTAAGGAAGACAGGCAATGGAAAGAAAGGGAAATCCCTTATACAGGTGTAGTGGGTATTGTAAGAAATAGCATTAGCGGGTCTGGGTACATCATTAACAGCCTTCAATAGTCAACTGCTGGACATAGGCCTCTCCTTAGAAAGAAGGTTTTGGCCTACTATATCATGCTGGCCAGATGGGTTGGTATAGGGTTTGTGTCAAGTTTTCTTTCTGTTTTGCAATGCTGTTGTTTTGCATAGTTTGCTTCCTTAAGTTAGTTAGTGGTGGGAAATGGGTAACACCTGGGTACATCTGTAAATAAAACTGGCTATTGAATGGCCCAGCTCTCACTCTATAACAAAGATAATGTTTAAAATAAAAAATAATAGAAAGGCATTCCAGGTCTTCTAGGTTTTTTCTTTTTTTTTAGGCATAGCTTATTTGAAATTGTCATTCGAATGTGTTTCCGCTTACAGTGAATGTTTTGTTTAGTGATGCTAATAAGATCACTAAAAATAGCTAATTAGCATGCTGTTAATTTAACTGACTTGATTATTGGTTTTTTTTATACTAACCCCTTTTATCCTGTTTTCAAATTAGAAAACGACATTGAATCTGAAAACTTAAAAATGTTATTTTTGAGCCTAATTAAGTTTCAAAACATTGAATTAAGTAATATATTTAGTCTGATTTAATCTTTGACAGTAACTCAAAGCAACTCACAGAAAGTGAAGGCCAGCCACAAGCTTCGGGTGCAGACCAGCAAAATAGTGTCAAGCTTCAAAGCTCCTACTTACAACTGCCAGCTAGTGAGAGAGTTTACAGGACACAAGGATGGTATATGGGATGTTTCTTCTGCCCGACCGGGACAGGCACTCATTGGGACAGCTTCTGCAGGTAAGCTGACTGCTAAGCCTAGGGTTTATGGTTTGATTCCCATCCGGGCCTATAACAGTGTGATAAGCATGATCATTTGTTCTGCATCAGGGAGTAATAATTTATCTATACAATGTATGTACTTAGAAATATATAAGCATCTTGATCCACAGTCTGATTACCATAGCACGGACTCTGCCTGGTTTGCAGACTTCTGTGTGTGAGATGAGTGAAATTATTATTATTATAATCCTTGCTTGCATATAATATAGAATTCAACCTCCTTATCTTCCTTTTGGAAAAGACTTAATTATAAAGAAAATTCAAAATTAAATGTTATAAAGGTTAAAACCTTAATAGATTCCAAAGTTGCCGTAATTATATTTCGACGATCGTAATTTTATTTATCCTCTTATTTAAGGATATTTAAGGAAATTAGGCAGTTAAATTAATTACTGATATGGAATCTCTACATATTTTGTAGAGATTCAAAATCAGTAATTAATGTAACCTTTGCAAAATAAACAAGTTCTTATCAATTCTTATAATTTCAGTGTTTGTAAACAGATGGTTTTTAGGAAGCATATCAGTATATTTACAATAAGTAACAATAACACACTCATAATGTGTGTATTAATTGACAATAGCTGAAATACTAAAAAAGACTTGGGTCTCAACACATTTTTTGTGTAAATCAGGTATCAGCTGTAAATCCTTATCAAAATTTTTCTAACCATTGATAACACCAATTACTTTTTATCATGCATACATATTGTTATGACATATATCTATGCTAATATAATCATTACCTGAGTAATAATGGTGTAGTTTTTTTTTGTTGACGAAAAATCCTTTTTCTAATAAAAATATGTGTTGTGGTAGCTTCTATCAACAATAGTTGCTATTGTTGATTGAAGTATGGAAGGTACAAAACATTATGCTACAATCTTAAGGATCGGAGTACCCATAAATATTAGTAAAACTGCAAGGAATTGTCTGTCTCTTTATCTCTTCATCAATTAAAAGCTACAGATATACTGCCTTAGAGCTATCGTTTCCTCTTTTTTCATCTTCTAAATATATAATTTTTTTAAGTTGGTTTGTGTAAAATTCAAAAAGTTCTGCACTGATGCAACCCGCTTCAAAGTTGGTTTTTACCTATTTTTTGCGTCAGTTTTGTCGCTCATTCCTTATCAATGCAATCACAATGTGCCGCAGCGAAGCGAAAATTATTATAATTTATTTTGGAAAATTAATTTAACTGAAAAAAAAATATTCTAGATCACACGGCTTGTGTCTGGAGCGTCGAATGGGGGAAGTGTCTTCTTCAATATACAGGGCACTCTGGCTCTGTTAACTCTATCAGATTCCATCCCAGCAGGGATATAGCACTCACCAGCAGTGGAGACAACACCGCACATGTTTGGCAGGCTGCTGTCAATTGGGACTTACCTGTAAGTAATATTATTTTTATACTGACGACACCTCTGATGGTAGAAGACTAACCAGTGCCTACAAATACTCTTAATATTAGTCATGTCACTTGACAATAGGATAAGGAGGTCCAAATACTCTATTCATGGACATCAGACATCTCGTTCATTTTGTAAAAAATTACCATAAGTGTAGTATATCTATTGAAAGAAGTGATTCATACTGTTGATGCAAATAAATATAAGTTTCTAGTTGAGATAGTGAGGTTACCGGAGCCCAAATCTCCCCTCGAGCGGGAGCGACTCCAAGGGCAGCATCGCACTTGTGACTTTTGAGCTGCAGGTGTCCATGGGCGGCGGTAGTTGCTTACCATTAGGTGACCCGTCTGCTCGTTTGCCCCCTTATACCGTAAAAAAAAGAAGATTTTTGAGTCTTCAACTCTTGAGCATATTGTAACACTTTTATAAGTTATAGACTTTTAACACTGATCAATATTTACGTATATTTACGTTATTTTTCAACAGATTTATCATTTAAAATTTATCACATGTCACATATCGTGACGGTGTGAATAAATAAAAAGCCGGTATTTAAATATTGTTGTTTAATAAAGTTAAATGAATCATTCTATACATCAAGGTCTTTTTAGGGTTCCGTAGCCAAATGGCAAAAAACGGAACCCTTATGGATTCATGTCTGTCTGTCTGTCCGTCCGTATGTCACAGCCACTTTTTTCCGAGACTATAAAAACTACACTGTTGAAACTTGGTAAGTAGTTATATCATTTTTTTCAATAGTTTGCGCGAGAGACACTTCCAAAGTAGTAAAATGTGTCTCCCCCCTCTCCTGTAACTTCTAAAATAAGAGAATGATAAAACTAAAAAAATATATGATGTACATTACCATGCAAACTTCCATCGAAAATTGGTTTAAACGAGACTAGATCTCGTTTAAACCAATTTTCGAGAGTAAGTAAGTAGTTTTTTGTGTTTCCACAAAAATAATTTGTGTGATCCACAAATTGTTGTTCTGAGTCTGGGTGTTCTTTGTGTCCGTTTCATGAATTTTTGAAAAGTTCCCCGTGAAACAGGATAAATTCCTAGTGCGGGAATTGTCTTTTAAAAAACTAGAACTAAATGAAAAACATGTTTATTAGGTAGGTCTTGTACTCCTAGTACAATTATTGCACTGCAGTCTTCAGTGAAAACATCAGTAGTTATAATATAACATCAGAAAAATACTTTAAAACTCATACGAAAAAACAAATCAAAATCAAACAGATTAAAAAGGTTACCAGAATGTGAAGCAAGCCCCCTTGCTTCACACTTGCTGCAAGGGTGTTCGAAATTCCAACCATAAAAATAAAATTATTATTGATGGTGGTAGTTAAAAAGTTGAACGTAGTTAGTTTAATCATTTTTTAAATATAAATATTATTGCAATTAATTTAGATTTAGAAGAAACCTTTCCTTATAGAAAAAAAATTACAGAATAGTTTCTAGCCTTAAATACAACATATTTAAAGTCTACCCTCCATTGCTGCTTAGTTTTTTCAAAGAAATTTAATTGCTATCAAGTAAATCTTAAAGAAATTACGATATTGCCTAATCTTTAAATCCCAAGATGACCGTGGTTGTTTGGTTCATTCTGTTATGAGTTATGACTCTGTTAAGACATTAACTGACTCATCATCACATTCGTTATATCCATGTAAAATTACACTTTCCTAGTATTCACAGTCGGAGCTAAGCAACATACAAACAGACAGATAGACATGTCAAAACGATAAGGATTCCATGTTAGGATACGGCACCCTATAAAAGTAGCTTCTCCGTGGATGCAAACAAACTATAAACTACTAACTAATTGTGCTTCTGGTGCTTCCAGTTTATTTTCAAGGTGACAGATTCAACTGAGTTCCTTGTTGTTGTATTTATTGTTATAAATATTTATAGAAATCAGTAGCTTGCATACATATGTATGACGTCATACGTTTGCATAATAAAACCTTATAAATTAAAGAACATCTAAAAGATTTTATCGAAACATGTTTATTTGACTAAAACCTCATCCAATATTATAAAATTCAAATGAAATTAAATGTTTCGAGCATCGGAATAGAAATATTTTAGAATATACTTTGTGATAAAAATAAGAAATGTAGACACGTTTAAAAGTGTACAGATCTATTAAATGTCAATAAATATTCGAAATACAACATTTTATACTCACAAGGAAGTAGAGGTATTGTATGAGCATCCTGTCTTTAGATCAAAGCGCTCCGACGATACCGACTTAGTCTTCTTAATTTTATATGTACTAGACTACACCAAGTAGTCTTGCATTTTAACATAAAATTACCAAGATAATATTGTTTTAACCGCAAAAAGTCCTTTAGGCTTCCTCATTTCCTTCTCAGGAATACGAAAGACTTTCTTTGAAACGACATGGAAAGGCTAACTCTCTCACTCACTCAAAGGAAAGAAGAGAAAGTTTCCCTGAGATTCTAATACAATAGGGAAAACGAATACTATCCTTTCATGTACTCTACTTCAAACCTACCAGAGGTTGCTTGTCATATAACTCACTAGATGTGTGGAGAAATCAGTCTGTCTGGTGTCTGCCAAAAGTCTGTGTTCACAAACAAACAAAACTTAACAATTATTTTTTAATTTTTAAAAGATACGGATGGTTCTGGGGCCCTTCTGATTAAGGAATAAGTAAATCTATTTTACAATAATTTTTGATATGATTGATTCTAGCGAGGTCAATCCTCAGAAGAAGAATTGGAAGGCGGAGGTGAAGAGAGCCTCGGGGAGGGCGGCGACAGGCCCGAGGTCCTTCGCACTCCTCTGACTGAGCTTTTAGGTCACCAAGGAGTAGTAGTAGCTGCTGATTGGCTCACTGGAGGTGACCACGTGATAACGGCCTCATGGGACAGAACTGCAAACTTGTACGATGTTGAGACTGGAGACTGTTTGCAGGTTCTTACAGGTATGTCTTGTAAATATGGTTCTGTTTAGTTTGTGATGGATTTTGCTTGACCACTTGGATAATTAACTGTGCAACATAATTTGTAATAATTTAAAAATTTAATAGTTTAGTGTTTTAATATGAAATGTCAAATATTAATAACGATAAATATCTGGTACTTTAAGAAAACTTATGGCCCATCTTAGGCCTACTAAGAGTACTAAGTCATGCTTAGATATTTTTAAAAACGATTAACAATACCTAAATCGCCTTTAAAAGTTTAGAATGTGAGGTAAGCTCTAATGGAAACATCGTGAATGCACGACACATTGATCTTCCAGTTTTCAATTATTCCATCATTAATAGCCTTTAATAGTCCACTGCTGGACATAGGCCTCTCATTAGAAAAGAGGTTTTGACCACCACGCTGGCCAGACGGGTTGGTATAGGGTTTGTTTCAATTTTCCTTCTCTTTGCAATGCTGTTGTCCTGCGTAATTTGCTCCCTAGTCGGCTTTTACGCTACCCACGGGATGAATAGGGATGATGAATCTCCGTATTCTTAATCCGTCACCACGGACAATTATTCCATACAAAACTTTGATTTACTTTTGTGCGTGCATAAGAGTCGCGTGAAAACAAATCTGCTATTAGGTCACGACCACGAACTGACGCATGCATCAGCCCACCACGCATCCCGATTGGTTGTAACCGCGTCACGTGACACAACCTTCCGTCTTTGGGACTTTCGCGAGCCGATACACTCCGTCTCCGTGTTTCAGGGACACACTGAGTAAGTATTGTAGTATAGTGTGTATTTAATTAATTAGTGTTCCATCGCCACCCTGGCCATCACTGTGTTCTGTGTGACCTATATCATATCGTGTGTGTAACAAACAGGTAGAAATAAATCAACATATTTTATAATTTGTAGACGGCATGAACCGTTTTTTTTGCTGCCGCAGTATCAGAACAATCGATGACATTACATCAGTGACATTCCTAATTATGTCAAAAAAAGTTTTTTAAAAATTATTTTACCTTATTTTTTAAAATAGGTTGATAAATCAAATTTCTCGTTTTTAGGGTTCCGTACTTCAAAAGGAAAAAAAAGTGGAACCCTTATAGGATCTTTTTGTTGTCTGTGTGTCAAGACCCTTTATCTCGAGAACGCGTGGAGGTATCGAGTTGAAATTAAAACCATATACTCAGGTCTACGGTCCCGTGAACCTATAAAATAATGAAACTCCTAAGTTAACTTAAAAAAAGGATACGGCCTCAATAAACGCATATTTCGAGGGAATCAAAATTCATACAATTCCCATTTACCTATAACTCTAAAATTTGGCAAGTAACATCGTCTCATACTCAGCTCTAACTATATTACTTGTAAATAAATAAAAAAAGTATTTATAAAGTACGTAATCTATCATCAAGGGACAATTTCTCTTATAAAACTCAAGAATATAAGTAATTAAAGGTTTTGGAAACTGAATTTCGGGCAAAGCTCAGAAAAAACTTCGAGATTCCTGAACTATTTATAATATATACCTATCTACAAATGTGTACGGAACCCTCTGTGTGTATAAGTTAAGTTTCTTTGTTAAAAACCTTCTCTGCGTGTCTCTTTAAATAATAAATCTAATTATTCTTAAAATCTAGTTATGTAGACATTAAAGAATATACTATTTATGTACTTTACTATTCGCGCGCCATAACTTGAGACTTGAACCCGGTGTCACAGATACGCGTTTGTACAGAGCACAAAAAGAAGCACTACAAGCGCACGCGACTTCGTCTAGGCTATTTTTAATGTAAAAGAATAACATAGTTGAAGTGTTTAGCAATTAAAGTGTTAATCAACTGTCTGTATTAATATTAGTCTGTAAGATTTCCTAAAAATTAATAAATAAAAAATAACAAGAAACTTACACAAAAATAACCATAATATGTAAGCGAAAGTCTAATAACAATACGATAACAAGATTAACAACAAAATGTAATAGGAAATCTGATAACAATAGGAATGCGTTGTCGTTACGTAACGTATGCCAGTACGAGTAATAATATGTTAGAAAAAAATGGCGGAGCCTACAGTACAACAAGGGCGCTTGAAGGGAAGTGACATGGGAGCGGGCGGGTAGTCACATTCCAGGAAAGTCTGAAGTTATGGCACACGGATAGTACTTAATATTTTAGGTACCTGAATACTTGATTAGCTTTGTCGACTTAAAATCTATAGTGTATTAAGTATTTATAAAATTACTATTTATAAAATATTTCTTATTCTTCTACAGGAGTGTAACATCAGCAGTATTCACACGTGAAGATAAGGTTGTCTCCGGATCTGACGACCGTTCCGTAAAGGCAAGTTTCTATGTATAATTCGACTCACATATTGTTATTTTATAATATGAGTAGAGTAGAGTTATTAAAACATTAAGCGAGTGGATATAGATATAAAAGGTTCAGATTTATTGATCCCGGCATTTATGTCATTTGCAAAAACCTATATCTGAAAGCTAAAACTCGTGACAACTTATTCAGGACAAATTATATTTCCAAATTTTATAATAGATGTTAGATAAAAAATGCGACCAGCGATCACTGAGATTGTTCACCCTAGCCCAATAAATGTGATTTAGAGAAACTTAAAGTACCTAGAACTTCACGTGATCGTTTTAAGTAGCACTCATTTCAGAGTGTTATATATTAATAATATTCTACGAATTTCTCACAATGCCATCTAGTGCCAAACTGAGCAGAGCTTGTACAATTGCTGCTACACCACTGATATAAATACATACTTATTATAACTTATTATACATAGAAACACCTAGACCAAATCAAACATTAAATGTTCACGCACACAAATGTTTGACTTGAGCGGGAATCGAACCCGCGACCTTTGGAATAGCAGTCAATTACACAAACCACACTCACAAACCAAACGGTCGTCTGCCCAGCATTGTCTGATATTTTGGTTTGTTTTAGGTATGGGACGTTCGTAACATGCGTTCAGCATTAGCCACTATTAGATCTGATTCTTCAGTGAACCGCGTAGGAGTGAGTGGTAACGGTCTGATAGCTATCCCACACGACAACCGGCAGGTCCGTATATTCGATCTGCAGGGGCAAAGGCTTGCTCGTCTACCTAGGTCCAGTCGACAGGTAAGTCCAGATTCGATCTAATATACTTTTTTTAAATATGAATAAGTATTCGTTTTATTAAATTCTTGTGTGCTTGTGCTGTAAAAAACCCATGTTGATTGTTTGTTGGAATAAATAATAAGTCTAGTTAACGAAGTAAAGCTAGCTAGTAACTAATTTACTTAATCTTTGAAAAGTATTACACCCACTTGATAGAGCTTTTAAGACTAAGCTTTTGAGCTTAAGCACTGTCCAGAGCCTTTAAATTAACTAAATCTTAATGCACCATCGAAACTTCTAAGACACATACAACCCTTACATGTCTCTCAATGTTCTACCAGTTATAGACAAAATTCCTTTATTCCGCGAGCAAGCAGCGCCTTTAATGCTGCTGCAAGAAAATATGACTTCGACTTATTTGCTACAAGCGCCACGCTAGCGAGACACAAAATAAGCAATAATTTATTCTCGTAGATTTAATTTAATACCTATACTTAATCTGTTGTCACAAACAATTAACGTGTTTCTAGTATTATAATTGTGTACCTATATAAACGTTGATTACTGATATTGTAATGCCTGCTTTGAGCCGTTAAGAATACAAATTAACTTTGTATTGAACTAAACGTGGGGATCAGTAATTGACTTGCTGGTGCAAACCTCAGCGCTAAGCAAATTTGTCAAAGCTGTTGGAGCTCTAAGCTATAAATAAATAAATAGTAGTTCGAGCTGAGCTCAAAAATAATATGGCCCTTACTGTATTGTGTTACCTTGGTAATACAAACCTCGTAAAAAAGAATACAGCATTAGTATGCAATATAAACGCATCTAAAATATCACACTAATAAAATCAAATAAGGTTAATAATTAGCAATATTATTTACTTGCTTTTGCCTGCAGCTCTGCCCTCGTCTATGTCGGTTATCGCGGTAAAAAGTGGCCTATGTTACTTGCTGTGAAAGCGTAACAAACACACTTTTACATTTATAATGTAAGTATGGATGTGACATGTTCGCAGGGCCATCGACGCATGGTCACCTCAGTGGCGTGGGCTGATGATATATCGTCCAATATTAACTTCTTCAGCTGTGGTTTCGACCGCCGCATACTGGGCTGGTCTATACAGCCCTCCAAAGAGAACTAAACAAGACTTACAGGTATATCTCCGTTCATTCACTAATATAGCGTTTTATTGATATAGTATCGAACTATTATCAATACATTGCCAATTATAAACTTTAGGGATTGAAACTTAAAGTCTTAATTGTTTGTAATGTGTTGTCCTTAGAAATATTGAGAATTATTGTCGTAAAGATTATTTATTCATTAATGTATTAAGACGTAAAAATATCAATTCAATGTAAGACATTTATATAAAGTGTTTATGTATCAAAATTTATATCGATCTCCTGTTTGTATCCTTAATATGTAATAGTACTTCTGGAAAAATATTGCTTGCACATTCCTCTAGAGCGTGTTTCTCGTATTACTTTGTATATTGCCTATAACTATAGGCCGCATAAGCTATTTCTTCTTGGAGTATGCTTGTGTAGTCTATATACCACACAGACACACACATGATAGGATAGGATCAGGATAGATTATTAAACAGTATTAATGATCATGTTAATTACAGTACAATTTATTCGGTTGTGGAAAACATGGATATAACGACTACTAGACGCTCTTACCCGTTAAGAATATAAAAAGAGAGTCTAAGATAACAAATTTTCCACTCTCTGAGGATTATCGGATTGAGGACGTTCCTACATTGTGTGTATTTCAATGAGGAAATAGCTTATGAGTTTCATAAATGTCAGAAATAAAACAACAGATTATATACCTTTAAGTTTTAATAGGAAAAAATGTAAAATGCAATTAAATGAAAGTCTACTGCCTCCGTTATATGTCAAGATACTTTGCTATCTAACGTTTACGAAAGTAAAATGTATATCTAATTTAATTCGATGATAATCCATGTGTTCCTTGATGTTTCTATGCTGAAAATATATTAAACACTGCTTAATTCTTTTTATTTAAAAGCACAAATATTTAGTGATAATTGTATGATATTTTAAGACTTTCGCATATAAGCTACTTTTAATATCTGAAGTCTGTGTATACTGTCTATTAATTAACTGTCTGTCTGTCTGTCTGTCTATTAATGTGTTTTTGAGCACATCCAGAAGTATTATATTTCGATTCTAGAATCCGAACGACAGGCTTTAAAATATAGACCTTTCTTAATTAAACCTGTAGGTAATTTTTGTTAAATGTCTACTTCATTAAATTTGTCAGTGTAATGATATCCACGAGGGTTTCCATAAAACTTCAGAAAAGCATGCGGGGCTATTTAACTAAGTTTCTTCGTCAGCCATCTCGATAAAAGTAGCTGATATGTGCAAAGGTATTTAATTGTTGTTGTTTTTTTATATTTAGTTTTAACTTTGTCTATGGAGTGGCGGTGTAGTAACAATGGTTGTTGGTAAAATGTAACCATATTTTAATTTAAGTAAAGGGCCAAGGATTTAGTTTAATTGGTTTTGTTACTGTCGTATTAACATTGGGTATAGGAGATATTTTTTGATCTGTTTAAGTCTCGAAGTAAGAGGTGCGTGTAATTTTTGTTTAAATAATTTTTATGACTTTTATTCAATAGCCCACCTCGTAGCAGTTTTTTTTTGCAAACCTGGCTTCAAATTAGAACATTCACCATAATATATGTGTTGTATTTTTTATATTTAATGTATGAAAACAATAAAAAAGCCCCCTGTAATTACACATTTGAAAGTGATCTAAAAAATTAATTGATTTTCGTTTTGATCCGATTGTATGTGTAAGTGTGATAGGTACATTAGATACATTACATTGGTAAAGTGATAAAAATAATATAAAGTAGAGTCTAAAGTAGTTTAATTGTTTCAATGGTTTATTGTTATGAATGAAAATTGTTATTCAGTAAAACTTTATAATAAGTAGCCATACTTTTTAGTAATTTAAAAAAATAGTAATTGAAATTTGCTTTCAACATTTGATTCGACCACAAGTATTGTTTAATTTGGCCATAGAAAGGATTAAAAAATAATTAAAGTGTGTTGAGACTATTTGTATAGTAAATAGTTTCAATGCTATCGGTACTACATATCGATAATAGAAGCAGGCTAACTGCTACATTACTCTTGACACTTGGCAGTCTTTAATATTGTCTGACTTGACTACACTGTTTCATTTGCATCTACTGCGTAATCAAGTTTTCTTTGGGTCTAAATGTGTAGAAGACTGTTATCCATACTGTACAATTATCGTTGATATATTATTGGTCTAATATCTTCTGTCACACTACCTGTGCTACTCGCTATGTTACTGACATTATTCATTACAACGATGTCATCATAATTATACATTCAATGGTAATACTACATATCTTTAGGTATACTGATGTAATAACGAAGAAAAGAACAGCAACATATTAGCGATAACCAGATAAACCAAAGATTGAGATACTATCTTAAAGAATCTTTATTTCAAGGTGCATTTAGTGGATCTTTTTAGCTCTAATAGTAACTATTAGCAGTTGTGAGATGGTCCTCTCAAGTAATAAAAACATAAATCAAAAGTCTTACACAGTGAGGTTCTCGAATAAAGAACGTACTGTCTCATGTATACGTCCTCGTTTGATTTTATTAGCCATGTTTTTTTTTCGAAGGTATATCCATCGAAATCATAATCAAAATATTGGATTGAAATCCACTAGAAATTTACTTTTAGTTGACAAAAAATAAGCAGTAAGAGACAATATCAATCATTTTTTTTAATTCATGCACTTTTAATCCAGTGTAGGTGTTTCTACTACTAAAGAATAACTTACACCAAAAATGTACTTAAATAAAAATATCAATTATGTGTATTATCAGCAAATGTGCTTCTCTGATACTAATCGTATAAAAGCGTTTGTTTTAATAAGCTTACACATGATTATTATTTAAATTTTGTTTTTATAATATTGTCTCAATATTCTTGAACGTTTACGAAATAATGATTATATTGTAGAAAGTTGACCTTTAGGCCAGTTTTTCATTTAATGTCATGTGACGTAATATATTAGTGAAATGCTCATTAATATAACTAATGTTGCATAGAAGAACTGCAAGATTAGAAGGTCGCCTAAAAATATTAATGGCGTTAGTGGTCTACTTGCTTTCTTCATATATTTAATTACCATACCGTGTCCTATATACCACACATAATTTTTTTCTTGTCTCTCTTGTGGATAATAACAGAACAGGTTTGATAACTACTTGATCAGGACTTGCAGCAGCTCAAGTATTCGTTGCTAGATGGGGTTATGTATATTAGAAAATCGCTTTGTCGATGTTCTAATATCACACTAGCCGAATTCACACAAACATATTGCTAAAAGATTTTTATTTATTTGTCATCAAATGAACAAGAGAGCCTAATATGAGTTTATTACACATAGATGTTTACAGCTTTGCGATTGGTGAAGATTTGAGGTGGGGCCAATCGCAACTCCGAACGCACGCACCATGTCGATATAGTTGATGTGAAGTAAACTCACACTAGGCCCTGAGAACGACTTAAAAATTACTAAAAACAAAACCTGGGCAAACACTTAAATTCAACTATTAGAACCCATTTAATCAAATTAATCATCAATAGCGTGTAAAAATTGATGAACTTCATAGTAAAAGCAGTGGTTCTAAAATCATGCTTGGATGTAGCCCCTTAATTAACATGACAATGTAAATACGTTACATTAAAACAGTACTCGAGGCTAAAGAACGTACCTATTTGTAAAGGTAAAAACAAGTATTGTGTAGCTATATATAACATTAGTAACGTCATACGTTGTATCACGAAAAAATGTTGTTCCCAGGGATTCAAAAAACCTTTGAAGCGAATGATACCGATCGTAAGATAACGTTGATCTGATACTAGCTATTTCGAATACCAAGGAAGTATATTTATAAATATAAGATTGATAGCATTGAAATGACCCGAAATGTAAATAATAGTAGTCAATGTTTAATTATTTTTCTGCTAATTGTTCTACTACTACTATTATTTCTATAAATGAACAATATGCACCTGGAATAGAGTAGCTGTGCCAAATTCATTTGTGGCAACACTAGGAATTGAGAGTGGGAAACACTGAGCATAAACATAAAGGTCAAGTTAATCGTCTTATTTTTTTAAGAACTCTATTTGTTTCTAGCAGTTTCATGTCTCCGGAGAAAGAATTCTCTAATCTTTACTCAAACTTATAATTTACTACTAGCCTGGTGACTGAAATTGGAAGCACTGCTCTGTCTGGCATTACATACATATAACTCACATTAAATGTCTTATTGCAATTCGGAAGAACTAGGAGAATAAATTTTATTACTTTATGTATTTACTGATCTTATATTTTATTAGCCAGATGCTAGTTGGCACCCAACGTGGAGCATATTTGTGGCACTATGGAATATAATTTTTTCATATCTTGATACCGATGACCATACAGTGACATTTCGAGCACTTAGAAATGAGTCAATATGGCTGTTCGGTGTGGTAATGGTCTAATTAGTAAATGGTAATAGCACTAAATAGAACAATATGCTTTTATGTTTATGCTCTGTGCTTAAATTATATGATACAAAATTGATATCTAATAGTTCTATAGTATAGTATATTTAGTTATAGTTATTCTTACTGTTATCTAAATTTATTTTAGCTTATTTCTAGTCGACTAGTGAACTTTTATATAAGTTTATTTTTAATTGCTGAAATTTTTCGTGTTAATATTTATATTGTGATTCTATCTATAGGTACTCAACATTAAATCAAGGAGCATAATATGAGTATTACTAATTTTGTATAATTCTAGTGTTATCAGTTGTTAAAAGTATCGTCTATAAATGATCTGAATATTTTTGTTATGCCAGTTATGGTATGAATACATAATATATAATAAACAAATGGTTTTATTTAAGCCGCATGTGAGCTAGTCCATAATATAAATCATATATATTAAAAATAAGTCTTGCCTGATCTCACTGTCTCGATTTAATCCTAATTTTTGGGCGTGTGAAGAAGCGCGCACCACTACGCTTTTCTAGACAACTTTGTCTCGCACAACTA